CTGAACATTTTCACGATTAACTGAGTTATAGCCAGCTTTGTGTTTTTTAAGATCAGCCGTCTGTGGTGGTTATCTTGAATTGAACTGACTCTAAAAGTTAAAGAGTTGAAGATGCGCATACAGCGATTGTTTTCTGTGAGTTTCATTAAAATCCGTACAGAGGTTCATGAGATATTTTGCTAACACTGAGCTCACACGTCAGGGTGAGTAGACCGTCCTCCTCCGCGGCGGCGTCGGGCCGGATGCTGAGCTCGATGCTGCCGGTGTCCACGCTCCTCTGGTGGGTGGAGGGGTCGAAGGACGAGGCGGAGCGGCAGTGGTCCCGCAGCCACACGTAGTTGAAACGCATCGGCATCCCGCCGTGGTTGAGCTCTGGTGAGGCGGGTCAACACTATGAGAAATTAAATTACTTGGAAACCGGATAGTTTATCATTAAACTCACCGAGGCAGTCCTCGAGTAAGCGGACGCTCGCGGAAGTCTTAGCCCGGACCTGTGCGTCTTGTGTCCGGGATGTGAGGGCGGACAGCAGCTGACGGCTCAGCGCCGGTCGCGCCAGCGAGCGAAACATCCCAGTAAACCGTTTAAAAGCAGACTGAACCGGCAGAGGAGAGACAGGCAGTGTGACTTCTCACCGGTGATTCACTTTATCACCTGTTTTACCTGATAGAACGCCTCAGTGTAAAGAGAAAGCCCGACATTAATAATTAAACAAGTCATCTTTTATACTGCCGCCATGGAGTTTGAGAGCCGGTTGAGTTGACGCATGCGCACAAAACCCGCTTCGACCCCCCCCAGCCTAGCAGTACCCGGATGTTGCCAACACGCTAACTTTTTTTTACATTTATTTATTTTATTTATTTATTTATTTATTTATTTTTATTTAAACTGAAATTTACAAACAAATCAAGGCAAACAATGTGATAGAACTTAAGAGACTCACAAAAAGATTTTAGATAATTTCCCCAATTACATAAATTTGGATTCTTAACAAAAATCTACATTTATGAACAAAAAAAATGTCCTAGTAATATTAGGTTATTAACTAAAAATTCAATTTTAGAGTTTTGAAAACAAACACCAAATTTTATTATTTTTAAGGTCAGATTTGGCAGTTCATTTCCCTGGGCCTGAATACAACCGCACTGCTCCAAGTCTTGAGTGATACTACAGAGGAAGAAAAGATGATCCTCCTCTTCATTATCACAAAATGTGCATCAGCACACTCAAATACACACACAGGTGTTTAGATTCAGGTGTTTATCAGATACACACTCAGGTGGGTTGCAGTAGCCAAAACATATATCTTGTATTACTATATAATAATAATAATAATAATAATAATGTCATCACAATGTCAGCACTGTATGTTTCCATACAATGGCGAAATTAGTCTCTGCATTTAACCCATCCACCACCAGGTGGTGCAGTGGGCAGCTATTGAAAGCGCCTGGGGGACATTTTGGGGATTAGACGTGCTGCCCATATACTGTATAAAGCATTAGTTGGGTTCATGTCGTTTATGATTTTAAAATGGATTTCCTTAACTTTTGGAGGGAGTGGAAAAGAGATATATTTTGTCCTAATTTGAGAAATCATATCCATTCTAAAATCTTTAAGAATATAGTGATGTTTGAGAATTTTGAGAACCCAAAAAACAGCATTTTTCTTATAAAAATAAATCGCTCCCTCACTATCCATCCTTCGGTTCAAACAGTCTTATACTGCCATCCGGTGGTCAAAACAGGTACTACACTCAAAACAAATAATCCAACATTTCTTCTTCACTTTGACAATAATTACTAATTGTTGTCAAATTAAAAAATATATTTTCATTTATCGCAATAATTTTTGAGATAATTAATCACCCAGCAAAATTTGTTATTGTGACAAGCATATATATATATATATGTGTGTGTGTGTGTGTGTGTGTGTGTGTTTGTGTGTGTGTGTGTGTGTGTGTGTGTGTGTGTGTGTGTGTGTGTGTGTATAAATAAATAAATAAATAAATAAATAAATAAATAAATGTATAATAAATGTATAATAAATAAATGTATAAATTTCCAATAGCCTTTATATGTCTTTGTTTTTATACTAGGATCTAATATTAAGCTTATAAAACAATGATCAGACAGTGGTGCTTTAATAATTCCAGATGTTGTGGTGCATGATTAAAGGTCATCACTTATTAACCAATAGTGAAATCTAGACCTGCACTGTCCGTTAGGTTTCATCCATGAATAATCAGTAAGTCCTGGATTCAGTGTTCTCCACACATCAGTTTATTTGTCATAAAACTATTTATCACATCATTGTGTTGTTGTCTGCCTAATCTTTGAGGCCACTTATCAAACCATTCATTTGCAGTCATATTCCAGTCTCCCCTCAAAATGACATGGTCAGTGAGATACCGTGTTTTAAATTCTAGTATAACCTGAGATAACTCCTCCAGTAGAGCTCTGTTTAATCTGTCACTATTAAAACCATAAACATGAACTATTTTCAGGACCTAATGGGCCATGTGGGTCACCAGTGTTAACCAGTGTCCCTGTGTGTCTCCGTTGTGTGTCAATATTTCCCCAGGGAAACTGTTAGAACAAATTGCAACACCACCAGTTTGGTTTGTATAAAATATTAGCCCAAAAAGTTTCATATGTGCTTCATGAGTGAGTCTCTTGAAATAAAAGAATCAGTTTGATTTCTGTCCTTTCGGAAACAAAAATAATGCTTTCCTTTTGATATTGTCTTTTAAACCTCTAACAATGAGTGAACCAAATGAAACGTTCTCATTTAAGATAAAAAACAACTATTAAAGAAGAAAAGAATGAACGAGGGTTTAACCCCCAAGATTGTTTGAAACAATTAACAAGAAATGTTTTTCAGTAAGCCAGCTTAAACTCAAGAGCTGCATTTGCAAGTCCCTTTAAATATCCTGCTCCTCCATCTTATTTGGTGTGCGTACCTTCATTCCGATTTGGCGCCCATCATTATATCCAAAGGAGCCACGAAAATATGCCATCTTTCCCACTTTTCTGGCTTGATCAATGAGTGGCCACATTTCTCTTCTCCCAGTCCTCTTTGGGTGACATCTCAACAAACTTGATGCCCAGCTCTTTGCAGTACCTGTAGGTGGATTTTTTTGTTTTCCTCCAGATTTCCTCTTTCATTCTCCTTGGAGTGAAGAGAACAATGATGTTTCTGTCTTTGTTTTCCATCTTCCTTCCCAGTTTGTGTACAATATCCACTGCCCCCTCCAGCCTCGACTCAGATTCAGGAACGATGTGCTTCAGAGTCATATCTTCATGCTTCTCCTTCTTCAGGCCGTTTATACGAAGGCTCCACCTCATTCTGTATCTCCTGTTCTCTGAGCCTCGTTTTAAGGTCGGCGGTCTCCGCTCGTAGTTAAACATTTTGCTTTTCCAGTTCTTTCACATTTGCCGTACACCAGTGGTGTCCAAACTTTTACATGTGTGGGCCAAAACTCAGAATGAAAAGACTCGTGGGCCACAAAAATGTGAATTTAGCTCTCAATGTGAACAATATTTTGGAGAAAGGACAAAAATTTACTAATTTTGGTAGAGAATGAGTTTTAAATTGTTGTAGATCCAAAATGTTAAAAGCCTCATAAACACTGAGTTTATATTTTTTGGTAAAAAGGATTTAATTTATTTGATTTGTTGGGTATAAGTTGGTTGTTTTCTTGTATTTGGAAAGTTCATTTTAGTCTGTTCTCAGCAACAAAAGCGTAATTTAACTAAGTGTCCTTTTAAAAGGGGGTCGATCAGCCTTTTGGACCATGGACGGACCAAAAGACTGATTGAAGTTCTGAAACATCGTCCAGCTGTCAGTCACTACAACAGATTCATAGAAGGTTTGATGACGTTGATCAACTTGTATGTAGATGACACCACGTTATATTCTATTAAAAACGTCCAGTTTCCCTCTTTATTATTTTATCAGCTGCAATATTTAGTCAAGGTTTATGAATCATTATCCAAAAGTTTCCTTTCTGGTAGAGATCAGTAAATATTTTTGGTGGTTTGTACCATGAAGTAAAAATAAAACAATTATAGCCAAAGGTTTACATTTTGCTTAATATTGCTCATTTTGAGAAGATAGTTTTTCATCTGTTTTGTTGTTAAACATGAACATTATATATAAAAAAGGATTACCAATGAATTTGCAGATGCAGTCTGCATCCACCTAAAGTTTTTCAGTCAGGTCATCTGGACAGTTTCTTTTTTTTTTTTGTGCTGAAACGTTTCACCTTCGATCCGGAAGGCTTCATCAGTCAAGGAAACACACAACAAAACTGATTCTTCCCCCAACAGCTTACTCCAAAGTGGAACAAACCAGTTCTGCTTGTGATAAGATGGTCTCTTTGGTACGCCCCTCCTCCATTGCCGGCTCTCTTCCTTGTTGACAGTCGTGTCAAACTGGTTGAAATCAACAAAGTCCATACTCAAAAATCCAGGTATGCAATCCAACATTTTTCAGTCAGGTCATCTGTTGACTGTCAACAAGGAAGAGGATTCGGATTGAAGGCGAAACGTTTCAGCACAAAATAAAGAAACTGTCCAGATGACCTGACTGAAAAATGTTGGATTGTATACTTGGATTATTGAGCATGGACTTTGTTGTTCTACATTGACCTGTTAAGCCTGCTGGCCAAAATAATACCATTCTTAAACTGCAGTTGTGGACCGCACAAAACCACTCCAAGGGCCGCAAATGGCCCCCGGGCCACACTTTGGACACTGGCGTGCCTTATGCAAAATAAAAAATGTGACCCGTGCTAGCAAAATGAATGAGAATGGTCAGAGGCTGCAAGGGAAAATACTGAGTTAGATGTAAATGGGATTTTCTTTTATAAAAGGAGTCCATAATGACTCCATTTAGCAACCCTGCTTACTAAAATAGCTTAATTTCCTTTTAAATTGACCATTTTCTTTGTTGGCTGTTCATTATAGTGCTGACAAATCCCTTCGTATAATGAATGACATCATTGTGATAACTTGAGAATTTGCTGGAATTCCTGATAACCCCACCCCAGACCAACAAAAATCAAGTATTCAAACAGTAAACAAATGTTGTTGGGTTTTTTTAGCCTACTGACAAATCACCAAATAAAAAATTAAGCATTATTTTGAAGCTATTTTGTGCTCTTGTCAGATGAGGCCGAGCCTAAATGTAGATAAATACCATATCAAGTTAAATAATACAGAGTCCACATTGTCTGTCCCTCTCATTGTTTACATTTGTGATATCTGGAAAAACTAAGATGGCGTCAAAACAGGCACACAGCTAAAAAAACAACAGTTTAATTAACAGCAAGCCCACCTGTCACAGATTATTTTAATAGCTTTCTAAAAACTTAAAATAATTCATAATAAATGTTTTTTTCATACAGCTATCGTGTAAAACAGCCAGATGTTAAATGAGGAAAATAAACTGGGTCTAACTAGTGACGATCTAAATTAGACCTGAAGTCAGTCATTAATTAATAACAGACTTCCAAAGATTTCAAGACTTTTAACTAGTTAAATTATTGTGACTTCAAATAGTTCATGAATTTGAAACTAACTCTTTTAGCATTAAAATTGTGTTTATGTAAGCTCTGCTAATTGCAGCTGTCGAATCATGCCTAAGCTTAAAAAGTAGATTTTCATAATTCATGCACAGAGCATGATAATAAATTGTTGCCAGAGACAACAGCAGCTTAAACTATTTAATAATTTGTGCTAAATTGTAGCATGATTCAGCCTGTACAGCACAGAAGCTACTTTAGAAAAGCTAATTCATTAATTAACAGAAATAACATCTGTTTTATAGGCTACTTTAAAAAAGTTACATTATTATCTTCAGTTCTGGTCAGATCACATTCACACTGAGGTAAATAAAATCAAATAAGATCAAATTTGCTGACTTATTAAAGGAGACACATGGACGTTTACCCTCTTCTCTTCTGTTGCTAACATCTGTAGCACACACAGCTTTCTGGCATTGTTACATACGTTTTAATATTATAATACATTGCATACACTTTAGTATAATTTACATTTCTTTACATAGTCAGCCCATACTCATAACTATTTAGTCAAAACACCAAGTGCAGCTGTTTGACCGTTTTGGTAATGGCTGCTGTTGCTTCAGTGAAACACAGGTCACCTCACTAGTGCGCCCTCTAGTGTTTCATATGATAAATACAACGTCAACAATGGATTGATAGCCTACAGATTATTGAATCTGTCATCCCAGGAAATGTTATGTTGAGTCTCCTACGGAAGGGTGCAAAAAAAAAAGAGTCAGCTTTAACCATTGAAATGTACATATTTAGATCAAATACATAAAACAAGAGGGTTACATGCATGAAAATCACCAATTAGGTCCAAAAAGAAAGGAACCTATACAGCAGCTGATCTAAACTTGTTCAGTGGCTCCCTCTGGAGTTCCTCTTGGAGGCTAACAGATGATCAGGCCCTGGCCTGCACCCTTTCAACAGTCTCCTGTCGTGTCCGGATGGGGTCCACAAAGAGCCAAAGCTCTGTCTGAACACCTCCTACCATCCTCCTACACCACCTTCACCTCCTACTGCTCAGTGCAGTATAAATACAACTGATTTAATAAACATGCAGTTAAAAGCCATCAAGCCTTGTTATACATCAGCAATAATCAGATAATGACTCCAATGTATTCTCTGTGGTTGTAGGAATCAGTTTTTGTCCTTTTTGTTTTATGCCGTTTGTTTTAGTTTCATAACAGGAATTGAAAGGCCTCTTTTCCTGACAGTGTTTTCGATTAAAACAGTCTTTTTACCCATTTTTCCTCAAACCTTGAAAATAATACACTATGAGGCCCGGAGTGGGCCATTGCTATGAATGACTTTCAGCTACTACCACGTCCGATTTCAGTTCAATATCCATCACATTGACTGAGTTACAACCATCTTTGTGTTGACTAACTGCGATTAGCTGTGGCGGCCATCTTTAATTGGCTTGACTCCTAAATAGATCCTGTTGTGGATGTACATCAAATTATTACTTACTGGGAGTTTCATTAAAAGTATATTCTTGAAATATTATGATAAAAGTCAAAAAGGGTCGACTCCAACAGCTAAAGCTTTAAGCAAAGATTAAGCACAAGGAGCTGCTCTCGGTGTACATATTGTGAGTGACTCACAGCTACTACCACACCAAATGTTAGCTTAATATCTGTAAAACTAACAGAATTACAGCTATTTTTGTGTCTTCAAGAGAAAGTTGTCGGTGATGGTCACTTTGAACTGGGATTGCTCCAAAAGTTAATCAGTTGCAAAGGTACCTCTAGTGATTATTTCAAGAAAGTTTAATTAAAATCCGCTCAGTGGTTCATGAGATATTTTGCTAACAGACAGACACACTCAAGCAGAATATTTGATCCAGCTCTTAATGTTAAAGAGCATTGTTTCTGTCCCAGTGCGTGAGTGATGTAGGCAGCCTGCTGCGTGTTGTAACCGGGTCTTAAAGTTTCATGGAGGCAGTCAAACCTGCTGCGCTTACTGGGATCACCATGTTCTTTAGGTCGGCGTTGTTTTGCTTCCTCAAGCAGCCCCTTTAAAAAACGCTGCAGTAGTGATGCATTTAGAGTTATCGGAAATTTTTACAGCTATTATAAATTTCACCTTTGCTTAAAATTGTTAACAAAATTCCGCATAGAATCACTAAAGTATTGAAGTAGAAAGCCGATTTATTTGATAACGCTTTAATTTAATTATGTTTCTAGATTAAATTTTGATCCTCACACCTGTAACGACCCGAGGATGGAATAATTCCGAGCTTCCGGGGTGTACGTGAACGCAGCAGACGCTGGAGCCTCATAGCTGAGCACCGCTCGGTCACTTTACGTGTTTACTTGCTTTGTCAGCGGTGTCCCCCCCTCCACTCCTCCTCCGCAGTAGTTAGCAAAACCTTGGACTTTTGTCTCAGACAGAGACTTATCTCATCCTCAGGACTTCTTATCAGCAGTTTCATCAAACCTGCGGTGGACCTTGAACGGGGGCAAGTCGGGTTCACTGTGTTTTTTTTTTTTTTCTTAAGCTAACAGGCGAAGATGACGTTAAAATCCAATAAAAACGAACCTGCGGTCCTACTAGAGCCGGCGAACAGCGTCCGGACAGCCCTCTCCGACCTGTACCTGGAGCATCTCCTTCAAAACAAACCAAAGTCTGACAAGGTAAAAACGTCGCTTTGCTTATTTATTTACTTATTTACCTCCGGACTCTTTTACTTGTGGGGAGGCATCCCACAGTGTTTAAAAAGTCTTCGCTTCCAGGAAGTAGACCGAGCCGGGTTGTTCTGTTTTGTAGCTCTCAAGTTTTCTCATCAGCTGAGCGGGATCAGGTCTGTGACATGAATCCTCTGTCAGCTTTTAGCTGCATGCTGACCTGACAGTTTCACTTCTTCTTGTCTGAGACTTTTGACAACTTAAGGGAAACTTAACAAATCACATGAAAGAAGCTGTATCATCGCAGCCAATTTTTTTTTAACTCAGGCAGAAGATGGAGCAGCTAAATGTTTGGCACATGCAACATGAGTTGTGATAATGGTCGTTAATGGGTGTTGTGTAACTCTTTCTGCAGCCTGACTGCATCACTTGGGGCTTTTTCCCACCAGAATGCAGGAAGTTCTGATGAAGGCAGTGATTTACAGCTGAAGGATTGAAGCAGTGTCAGAATATGGGAGATGTCAGCAGAGAGATAAAGGAGGGAAATGATAGAAAAGAGAGGAAACTTCTTTCCTGTATCAGCACTTTGTAGTTCCAATCACTCTTTTCTGCTTTGTTTCTATCTGACAGTAGGAACTGGTGTCTGATTAAACGTCCAGTTTGAGTAATAACACACCCTGTTTTGTTCTGTTTGGAGTCAAAATGTGTTTTTCTGCTCTGGAAGCCACTAACGCTTCCTTCTGACACCCGTGACCTGTTAAAACCAGACCAACTTTGTGCTTTAAGCACAGTCACGGCTTCAGCTGTGAAATCTAAGAAGTGCCTTTTTAATCGGATGTTAAGGCCCAGAATCTGCCTGCTATCTGGGGTCAGAATGATCCTGCAGAAAACTGAGCGTCTCATTTGGTCGTCCGCTCTCCTGATCCTTCCAGCCTGCGTTTGCCTGGAGCAGCTGAAGGGAGGTTTTGTTTTTCTCGTAACGCGTCTCACACAGATAAGATATGGGTTCAGTATCATGTTCTTTCAGGAAATCAATAGGAAAGCACGGGAAAGCACATCCACACCAAAGCTTATGGTTAATATTAGATTTAATAATCAGGCTGAAGCTGCGATTCTGAAATATTACATCAGAGGTGTTTTTCTGTGGTGTTGGGACTTTTTTTATTGGGAGGTGACGCGCTGAAGAATCAAATACAGCTCAAGTTTAAGATGAGACGTCTTCCCGAACTACGTTTTTCTCCAAGTGTTTGTTTATCCAGTTTTCCAAATCTGGGTTTGTGAAAGAACGTGTTTGATCACATTGGTTATCTGTCGTTGGAATGCAGTAAAGCCTGATGGTTGTATTTTTATTTTTTTTGAGAATTGACCTCACCCATGATGAGGCAGCATCTCACAGGACTCTTGACGATGAGTTATAAACACTTAAAGTGAAAATGCTCACACGTCTGCACAATTTGGGCCAGAATAGATTGGAAGCTTTCATATGTACTGACAAACTCATACAACTCAGGGGCTTTAGAGTTACAAAAAATAAAAATAGAAAAGGGTTCAAGGTTGGTTTTAGATGCCTGAGGCAACTTTGAAAAAAAATATGTTCGTCGCCCCGACTTTTTCAAACCAACTCAAAATTTCCAAGCAAGAGCTCGAGACGATTGTAAACCCTCGCAGACTTTTTAGAAACTCCCGGGCCAAAGCCAGCAGTCACAGCCCAGTGAGAACCAGGCTTTATTAATGTTCTGATAGTGCTGGAGCTGTCTGCGCCATCATAAATACTTTTAAATCATGGTTTTTTAGGGCATAGTGATGATGCCTTTGCCTACTTTCTGGTGAGTAATTGTAGAATTAGGAGAATTACATCAGCATTAAACCACATTTATTACGACCGTATTTTCCGGCGTATAAGTCGCATCAGTCGCATCAGTCAAAAAAAGCATCACGAAGAGGAAAAAAACATGTAAGTCGCATTTATTATGCGTTTATTTGATGATCAAAACAGTTTCATTTTGACGTGGTGGCGCAGCACCATCCATCCATCCATCGTGGTCGGAGCCGCTAGCTCTCCAGCGTTCCTCCGCCTGCACCAGCTGAGTGAAGCGAGCGCGCACGTGAGGACCTGCTGTTGCAGTTCTTCGAATTTTAACAAGATTAACACTTAAAACAATTATTTGTTTGCTCGACACTATAGCAAAGGTGTGTCTCAGTTTAACTTTTCCTTAATAAATGCAATTTAATGGTTAAAACGGCTTCATTTCGCCTGGGCGGCGTGGCGCCATCCATCCATCCATCCATCCATCCATCGTGGCTGGAGCTGCGAGCTCTCCAGCGTTCCTCCGCCTGCACCAGCTGAATGAAGCGAGCACGCACGGCTCGCTGTTGTAGTTCTTCGAAATTTAAAGCATCAGTCAAAAATTGCACTGTGATTATGGAAAAAAACATATATAAGTCACTTTGGCATGTAAGTCGCAGGACTGACAAATCTATGTATAAAACTATGACTTATACACTGGAAAATACGGTATTTAATGTTTATTTTGTATTATTGTTAAATGTTTGGTTCACTCGTGCAGCGCTGGAAAAACATTTACAAAAATCAAATTGTACGTATCGATTGGGATATTGTGCTTTGACCTTTGGTAGCAATCCATCAAAAAAAAAATGTTGCTAAAATAAATACAATAAACACACATATGGACAACAATAGGATTTTTAGCAAAACCAGTGAGAAAATTCACCCTATTTGGAGCTCTATGTGACATATTTTAAAAGAGAACCCAGGTTTAAACTTTAAATGCATCAGAAGACATGGACACCTTACCTTGTGCTTCAGATTTTTAATATCTACTGTGTTTTTTAAATATAAAATTATATCTTTAGAGCAGTTTTTGGGTTTATAACGAGTCTGTGTTGGATTGACTGCTCACTGGTTAGAGTGAGTGACATCACAGGTCACATGATTCACTAACTTTTCAACTGTCCAAAATATTTACAAACAAAACTCTTTAATCTTTTTGCAACTTTTGCACTTTTATTAGAGCCCGACCGATATGGAAATTTTGGCTTATCGCCGATACCAATATTGGGAGAGTAAGGCTAATGCTGATAACTGATATAATGTCTGAATTTTTTTAAATCTTTGTTCACCTCCAAGAATGTAAGTAAACAGCTACTTTTAACCTGCTTTAAGTCTTGAAACAGTCTGCCTAACGTACGTTCACATTTTCTAACCTCCACTATTCACTATAACGTCATCAAGTGAGTCACAAAAATATAAATTAAACAAAGAAACGCCCTTCCCTGTTCATAGTTTAAACATTCAGTCACGTATGGTGAAGGCCTAATTAGTGTTCATCGCAGCAGAGTTTAGTTTTCTTTGCAGAAAAGTAAAGATTTCAGACAAACATTTCATTGAGGATGACAAAGATAGCGTTACTGATATATATTTACCTCTATGTTAGATTTATTGTTCTGGATAAAGTTTTACAAGGCAAAAGCCTATGCTAAGTTATCTAGATGTTAACTTGCTAATTTGAGAGGCACGTAGCTAATGACAAGCGGGTTGGAGGATTGAAGAGAATCTATTGTTGTTGATTTGTTTTACAGATCGGTTCAAATAAACTTACCGTGCTCTGTTCAGCAAAATACACTAGTATTGCTCCCTGCTTCCGCTGTAATGAAAGTGAAACTTAAAGTGAATGGCAATGACTTGAAAGTTGTCCTCTTGCGTCCTCTTGTGGATACATTGTACAAATAGGGGCGGCTGTGGCTGAGTGGTTAGAGCAGTCGTCCTCCAATGCGAGAGGTGGGGGTTTGATTCCACCAGCAGTCACATGCCGAAGTGTTCCTGGGCAAGACACTGAGCCCCTCATTGCCTCTGATGTGTGCCTCATCGGTGTACGATCGTGATAAGGCACTGATTAGTCTCTTTAGAATGATTTGTTCAATTAGCTTTGTATAGATCTGGTAGAATTACGCCTTCTGCAAGTAAGGACATGGCTTGCTCTCAATGTTTATATCAGTGCATAACCAGACAATTATCACCAATATGATAGGTCCCCAAACGTCTATATCGGCCTAAAATATCGGCCCTAACAATGCATCGGCCAGGCTCTACTTTTTATACAGTTTATACATCGAAGCAGAGACATTTTTGTCCTTGTTCGCCCAGTGTGTGTGTCTCTCTGCTACTAGCTTAGCAAATTGCTCACACACTCGGTACTCTTCTTTAGCTCTTTTTATCCTCAAACTTGGAAGTGTTGAGTTTCTTTAACTCGTCATATCTCCTCCAGAAAACACTGCAGATTAAAATCTATATGTTGTGGCAACAACAAGTTGTAGGCTCAATTTCTACTTTCTTTTTTCTTGTTTTTTTTGTCTGCCTGTCCGTTAGAGTGCTGCAACAATAACAGCTGGTATTGTGCACTCCTTGCTCTAAATCCAGGGCTTTGGATTGACTAACATTTGGGTTCACGAACGACTCTTTGCCAAGTTTGGAGCAGCTGTTTGACCAGAAATGAACTATCGCCGAGGGGATCTATGAAGCAACAAAGCAACAAGCGATGTTTACGGCTCCCCTCAGAGGATGTAACTTCATCTGTTGGACCTCGGTCCGGGACACTTCTGACGTATTCTGGCACAAGACTGACAAAAATAAAACCTTCCCGTTGTTTTGCTTAAAGACAACTGCCTGACTGTTGTTGTGCCTGCTTCCTGTCACTTCTTTACAAACTGGAAGTGGGGGTTTTCCTGGCTTTTGGAACATATATTACATGCATGCACCAAGCTGCCACAGTGTTCCTGTCCAGCTGAGGGTATTAGAGAGGAGGAGGATTTATTGGTTTATTGTGGGGCTAAAGTTGGAGCACAGATAATGCCCTTTTTGCTGAGGCAGCGCTGATGTGTCATTTTAATGCAGAAACTTTGTGCTGATGTCCACCACAATACCTTAATGATTCATTTCTAAACTTTTTGATATCGTAAGCTCTGCACTTTACTCCCTGGGAGTCGACGAAGCAGAACTTATCTCCTATGCCTTATACTAACTCGGTATTTCCTAGAAGATCTCTCTTGACATGGGATTGTACCACTTCATTGATTTTTTTCATGCAAATTTGTCAAAAATACACAGGACCACAGTACATTTATGTGACTTCCTAAGAATGGCGGATGCTTTTGTGCTCCTGCTTCACCTGACGTTTCTTGTGGTCTCCATGACCACGTGAACCTGGCTGACCAGATGACAGGAGATGCTTAATGAAGCGCTAAAATGCCAAGTTAATGTTCACCGTTGAACACACAGTGAAACTGCAAAGCTGCAAATGAATCACATCTGTTGCCACACACACAGTCACCGCCATTGTTTGAAATATTAATGGGGTGATCTGATTCATCCAGTTTAAAGGTGTACAGTAGTCCCTCACTTATCGCGAGAGCTTACGTTCCAGACGCCACCGCAATAAGTGAAAATCTGCGATGTAGAGACGTTATATTTATTTTAATATATTATATAGTATATTCTAAGGCTTTATAAACACTTCCCACACTCTTGCAATATTCGTCTTAGGTCTCACTTGTAAATGAGTCTTCGAGGTTCAATGTGACTTATCTGTTTAAATAAAGGTTGAGTGAATTAATGAATTAACAATGTTCTAAATGCTCTAAAAGAGCACAGTGGAATAGAGCAGGTAGACTGATGCTATGGTAGAGTTGCATTCAGGCCTAAAAATCCGACCTGGCCCGAGCCTGTAGGCATTTTGTCTGAGCCCGACACAACTCGATAAACTGTAATTACAGGCCCGAACCTGAAAAAATACTTTTTTTTTAATTAAGCTTTTACCGCTTTTGTAAGCAAATCAGTTTGACATGATAGTTTTTAAAATGTATTTCAAAGAAAGGAAGATATAAGATTTCTTGTTTATTAACAATTCACCAAATGAATATTAACATACAAAATGAATAGCCTAAAAATATCAACTCTAAAAATAGGTTATTATACAGATGAACAAAGATATTTTTATTACAAAATTATTTGGAAAATAACAGAACAAAGCTATTTTAATTGAACGCGCTGCTCGCTTTGGTTTTTGTAGCTTCAGATGCTGCAACTTCCTTCACTGTAGATGAGAGCAGGGTGCGGAGCGGGATGCGCACAGCCGATGATCCAGTTATCCATTCGACCGGTCAGTAGTCGTGCGCGACCGATGAGCCGGTTATCCATCAGAAGCTTAACGGAATGTTTTTTTTTTTTAATTTCTTTCAACTGGCCGATCAGCAGACGCGCGCGGCTGATGATCCTGTTGTCCATCTGAAACTTAAGACTTTTTTTTTACTTCTTTCAATCGGCTGGTCGGACCTGAGCGTGTACGTGACACACATCAGCAGGTTTCACTGTGCTGGCTTTGTAGAGTGAATCCTCCCGTTTTTAGTTTTTGTTTAACACTTACCAGCTCCATTATGTCGCTTGTTGTGGGTCAATTGCAAATCCTCAGATGTGTGATAAAAGCAGGGTGGGTGGGGCCACATATGCAATTGTTGCGCAATGAGCCAGTGCTACTCGCTTCACAGTCTGATTAACTACTGCACTCTTCTTTCTTCATCCTCTCAGTGTAGTAAACTTACTGCCTTCTCCTCTACAAGTAGATTAATACAATTTTATATTGTACATTCTTATTTAGTTTTCTTTGTGCTGTATGATTCATAAAACGGTATTAAAATCCCGACCTGGCCTGAATTTCGGGTCGGGCTTGGGCCAGAAATCACAGCTCTATGCTACAGTTACAGAGCCATTCTGCGCAGCCCATGGTGCTGACTGGCCATTGGGAGCACCAGGACATTTCTCAGTGCTCCTGATAGCCAGTAGCAAAAGACAGACACCCCCTCCACACACACACACCTTCTTTTCTCTTTCTGAGGCTGTCACACTTGCCTGTTGTGTCTTTGCTCTGCTGTGACAGACATCCTCATAAAGAGAAAGGAGGGGGGCCCTCACTGATAACTGAGCGGGCCAGGCCACCGGGAAATGTCCTGATGCTCCGGATGGCCAGTCCGCCCCTCAGCACAATGCTCTGGTTGGTCACCTTCCATCAGTCAACCAATCTTGTGTCGTGTACAGTCTTACGTTGAAAACCTGTGAAAGAGTGAGTCTGCGAAAGTCGAACCATGAAGTACCGAGGGAGGGACTACTGTATTTATGAAGTATTCATACTGTAGGGTGCTGGCTCTGTTAGATAAGGTGTATATTTTCATTTAGTGTGTTTTTGTTTCCAGCAGGCAGCCATGCAGACCTACGAGAATAAAGGAGCTGAGCTTTACACCAACGGCTGCGCTGGACACATGAACGGCACCGATCTGACCCGGATGAAAGAAGTAGCCTTTGAGAAGAATCCCTCAGAGCCAATGGTACGCAGTCTGACTCCTCAGGATGTATTATGTCAGATGTGAGCCACTGACCTCCCCTTCTTGTTTTATGTGATGTTTCTCCATAGGGGGTCACTCTGAAACTGAATGACAAGCAGAGGTGCACAGTGGCCAGAATATTGCATGGAGGGATGATCCACAGACACGGTAACTGAAAGCATCCTAGTCGCACTGACTCCCTGGGTCAAGTGAAGGCCTGGGGACCAAATGTGGCCCTTCTTGGAATTTTATTTGGCCCGTGAGGAAAAAAAACCTAAAAGAAGTAGTCAAGTCAAATTTAACTATAAAGCACATTTAAAACAGCAGCTGTTACCAAAGTGTTTAACAATAAGATCAAGGCAGTAATTATAGGAAAAAAAACCAAGATGTAATTAAAAGCATCAAAATAAGAACATAAAAAAACACAAAAAAAAGAAATTAATGAAATAGTAAATCAAATCACTCCCTGGGAGTGGACGAAGCAGAACTCATCTCCTACGCCTTATACTAACTCAATATTACCTAGAAGATCTCACTTGGCGTGGATTTGGATTATATTTGATGACTTTAAACACCCTTTAGCTTCATTCAGCTGTAATAGCGCCCACTTCATTGATTTATTTTTTTCATACAAAATGTCAAAAATACACAGGACCACAGTACATTTATGTGACTTTCTAATAAGGATGGATGCTTTTGTGCTCCTGCTTCACCTGACGTTTCTTGTGTTCTCCTAGACCACATGAACTCGACTGACCAGATGACAGGAGATGCTTAATGAAGCGCTAAAATGCCAATTATTGCCAAATTCATGCCAAAATTAACAGAGACAGCAGTAGAGCTAGAGCTAAACACAATGACTTCAGTTTTCTGATCGTTGAAACTTAAAAAGTTTGAAGCAATCTATGCCTTGATGTCATTATGACATTTTACCAGAGGTGACTTTAGCATGAACTATTTGGTTTTATGGGCAGATAAATCTGACAATCATCAGCATAGCAATGAAACAAAAGACCATGTTTCCTAATGATAGACCCCAAGGGGAGCAGAAACAATGAAAACAGAAGGGTCCAAGAATGGAGCCTTGCGGGACTCCACAGGAAAGAGGCACTAAGTAGGAAGTAGTGACAGAGATAGGCACTCAGGTAAAACCACTTTATTGTAATTGAGTCCAACAGCTCTGGTTTAGACTTTTTTTTTAAGCGAGGTCCTGGGGAAACGTTATAAGCAATCAATATCATATTTGTTTTACATAACTTCATTTAATGCGAGACGAATTCTGCCCAAATTTATGAGCAAAACATTGGTTTGAGTGTCTTCAGTCCCTAAAGTTTTGTAGTTGTTTGCGTAGTTCATGGTTACTTCTTTAAACCTTTATATCTCTGTCAGTTTCACACAACACAGATTTTCCTGCATAAATTGTATAACAAGCCCCAGGCTTTACCTTGAGTGCTACAGCTAGTTGTTGCTGCAACTAACTGCTCTCGCAAGCTACCATGGAAATTTTCAGATTTGAGTTAAGATGGCAACAATCCACTTCAAAGCTCTTAGCTCGTCAGCTCAGTCAAAATAAACTATTTTTTTCCCCCAATTTGAGGCAATTTAAAGAGTTATTTACAGCAGGTAAGATATTGTTTGTTTAAAACCTTTTGTCAGAACCCCACTTGAAAAGATGTGAAGTATAGCTTTAAGAGCAGCAGCTGTCTTTTTCTTCACAGGTTCCATACATGAAGGAGATGAAATAGCAGAAATCAACGGGAAAAGTGTGTCAAATCATTCTGTTGATCAGCTCCAAAAGATTCTGGTCAGTTCAAATTTTGAAGGGGAATAAAAGCTTTTAATTCTGCTTCACATCACTCGGATGATTTTCTGTCATCATCAGAGGGAAACCACCGGAGTCGTCACAATGAAGATCGTCCCCAAGATGCAGAGTCGCTCTCGAGTCTGCGAGGTAAAGTTTGTGTTCTTTAAAGTTTGTTTCTTTTAGCTGCTTCTAACCTGATTTTGTTCGATTCAGAGATGAGTTTGACACTTTCTTCTTCTGTGACTCACTTGTTTGAAATGATTCTGTTCAGGTGAATCTCAGTGACCAACACAGGTGATTATGAAACTAGTCTAAATGAACATTAGACATAGCAGAGCATGAAACACTCACGGCGTGTGTGTGTGTTTCATGCTGCCATCTACTGGCCGCAGCATTTTTCTGTAGCAGCCATTTCTGTGCCAACAAAATGGCTGCTCATAACTGAAAATATCAGGATAAAACAGCTGATCATACAGTGTCCAGTTAATTTATCATGAGCTAATTAAAAGAGATTAAGTTGTTTTTATTCCCTGGACTTTAAACTGTGTCTGCAGCGGCCAGTGATGGTGAATAAATCACTGCTTGTAGTGCATTAGGACTGAACTTAGTCTTATTAGGAAACACTTTGCTGATTTTAACGCTCGGAGAACATCTGGTTGGTGACCCCGCTCGCTCCGTAGTACATCAGTTTTACTCACAGAGTCGTTGCTCTGGTCTTTACTGCTGGAGCGTCATGAGGGAAACCACGGCTGTTCTTCACTCCTACTAACAACCTCATTTACAAATATGTCAGAACACTTTAACATCATTTGTTTTAACCTTATATGTAACAGAATATAGTTGAAATGTTAACATTTTTTATTTCTGCCTTTTATAGTCTGTACATTTAAAAAAAAAAGTTGGATTAGAAAAGTCAGTATTTGTGTAATGATTGTTTTTTTTTTATTGTTCCTTTAAATGTTTACGTTCGTGTTTTTATTTTTCCAGGAGAATTTCATTGAGATTAAAAAGCTCAGTTAAAACCCAAACATGAGCAGCAAAGCTAGTTAGCATTTAAATGAAAAAAATAAAAAAACAACATAAATTCACTTCCTTTTAAATAGGGTGCAAATGTACACAACCAAAAAAAAAATCTGACTGTATAAGATAAAACACTTCCATGTGTGAAAATCTGTTTAATAGAAGCAGCTCCTTCTATTGTAGACTAGACTGAATCGTCAGAGCAGCAAAGATGAAAGTTCTGGGAGTGAAGTGAATACGATAAGTCTAATGACTGTCACAAAAACTGGAAGAGACATTGTGCTGTTTAGTTTTGCCAGAACCCAATAAAACGTTCCAAGAATCCAGACGCATATTTGTGTGCAAGAGACTCGTTGCACTTGGAGCTCAGGTTAGGGAGCACAGTTTGTCACTGCAGCCGGAAAAAATGTTCAAGTTCAATAATATTTGTTACCCTCAAGGGGCAGTTTGTTTCACAGTCAGTAGCACACAAAACATCTGTACTAGACTAGACGTTAAAATAACAGTACATGAAATCATCACTGTTCGTTGAGAAGCCTGATCTCTACAGGGATGAATTAGTTTTCAGTCTGGTCGTTCTACATCTGGGCAGCAGATACCTGCATCCAGATGGAAGGAACCTGAACTCACCATGGAGTGGTGATCAGGATCTGCCAGAATCATCCTGACCTTGTTCACTGATCTCACCTTGTGTAGGTCAGTAAGGTTCTGTAGGGCTATGCCAGCTGTTCTGCTGCACATCCTCACAATCCCCAAGAGTTGGTTCCTGTTTTTGCATGTTAACAATCCAAACCAACAGATGAAGGTAAAAGTTAAGATACTCAATAAAACATTCTCATTAAAGTAGAATCAACATTAAAACCACAGAGGTTCTAATAAAAATAAATTCTCTGGTGGGCCTTCTTACAAAGTGAGTTCACATGGGGGTCAAAGGTCAGTTTGTCATTGAGAACAGTGCAGATATTTATATTGATGCATCACCTGAACAGCTTCACCATTAATGACCGCAGGAGCTGCAGCTGAAGAGACTTTTCTAAATTAAATGTAATGAAATGAGGTCCAGACGAGCAGCTATCTGCTTTGGTTCTGAACTCATTCTTTTGATTGTTTTATAATCTTAAAGCAATTTTTAAAAAAATCATTCATGATGCAGGTCGATTCAGGAAGGAATTAAAACTAGAGGAATGTCATTTCCTGTGAAAATACAGCATGAATGTTTGTTGCCAAATGATTTTTGATGAAACCAAGTTGAAATAGTTTCATCTCTGTATTCTTACTGTGAGTTGAAATTGACCTGCTGACATTTGCTGAAAGCAGGAACTTAAAAGCAGAAAGCAGCAGAAAAAAGCTGAATGGTGTAGAAATGTAGCAGAATAAGCTTAAAATAGGCCCAAAGAGGCTTAATAGATCACAAAAATCTGTAATTTGCAAGAAAAAGAAAAAAAAAAACTGACATGAGCAGAAAAAAGCTAAAATTTGCTAGAAAAAGGTAACTGAAATAGTTGAAAATAGCAGAAAGAGGCTGAAAAAAGCATAAAAAGTTGTAATTTGAAATAAATGGGAAGAAATTAGCAGAAAATACCTAAAAAAAAAAAAAAAAGAAAAACAAGTAGCTGAAAAAGAAAGAAAAGTCGAATTTAGCAGAAGCTCAAAGGAGCATAAAAAGCTGAAATGAGCAGAAAGAAGCTGAAAAAAGCTGAACCAGAACAAAAGCTGAAATGAGCTCTAAAAAAGTTTAAACAGCACGAAGGGTATGAAGGATGTAAAGACAGCTCCATTCATTTTCAAAGAGAAAACCGTGGCCGACAAAGCTTAATGTTTCAAGAAATACAAATTGCACAGACACCAAATGTCAGAGCAGGTATGTCCTGAATGAGCCGAACGTTTTGATACATGGCTGCACTGAGGTGGCTACAGTCCAAAATAGTCACGCATTAAAAACATTTCCTACATTCTTACTTAAATAAACCTCAAAAGAAGCGGCCGAGCTGCTAAAAAGCATCAAGTAATATAAGAATGAAATGATTTCTGAATTCTTTATAAGATGATTTGCAGCATAAACAGAACCACGCCGCTGCTCGGATTTTATAAAACCTGTTGATTTCTTCTGTTTTTTTAAACTTACATTAAAAACGTTTCTGAGCTATAACAGGCTTTCCTCTTATTTCTATGCAAATATAATATTTAAATAATTTACAAACTGTTGCATTCTTTACTAAATGTATTCCTAATATTAATAAATGTGGTTGTTATGGGAAAAACATGATCTGTGACAGTTTTCTAAAGTTTTGCACTTAAATAATTAAAATAATTATCGGTGAGCCGTGTTGGTAAAATGAGTCACAATGAGGCATTTTTCAGTTTGTGGTGATAATTTAATTTTTTTTTTCCATCTCAGAGGTTTTAAAATGATTTATAGTTTGTTGGTTTTTGTTCATTTATCACCTGGCAACAAGGTAGTTTAGTTTAGACAAAAGGATCAGGATTCACGGCCCTACATAAAAGAGGAACACATAAGCTTCACAGTGATGCCAAACATTATACAAAGGGATTTCCCGGCAGAGAAAAATGGGTTTTAAAAGAAACTAGAGAAATTGCATTTCCTGCAAAAATGCAGTGTGAATGATTTTTGCTATTTTTGCTTTTAAATAATTAGTAGTGAAAGGTGCAGCTAAGCTGACCCTGACACCACTACAGCACAAAACAGCTGAAAGAAAGTAGCTGAAAACAATGTTTAAATTTGCACAAGGAAGCTGAAAGAAGCTGAAGCAGAACAAAATGTGAAAGGAGCTGGAAAAGGTTGTAAACAGCTCTAAAGATATGAAGGATGGAAAATGAGCTCAATTCATTTTCTATGAGAAAAAAAGTGGCAGAAAAGGCTAAATGTTTCAAAAAGCTAAAGTTGCATTAATACCAGAAGTCACAGTAGTATTGTCCTGAACGAGCTGAACATTTCGATAAATGATTTGTTGAAAAAACTGTGGGATGAGAATATCCTGATACATGCATGTGGGATGAGAAGTGCGCTGAAAAATGTACAAAAGAGAAATGGATCACAGTAGAGTGAATGCTTCATAAACATTCACACAATGATCAGAGTTAAGACGAAGGATTATTTCTGACAAACCTGTTGGAAAACTTTGACTGAAAAGGCCGATTGTGAACATTAGCTGATATTTTAGTTACCAGGTGATGGTGTTTTTATGGACTTGTTATTTTATGTTCACTGCAGCCTGCGCTCATTTCCACTCATTTTGCCTGCACTGGTCAAATTAATTAAAATGACCAAAATCAGTGCTTGTTTTAAAAGTTATAAAGTTATTTTAAGTTCTGAATGAAACTGTCAGGAACATATCATACTCTGCTTGACTCGTAGGTGAAGTTTACCATTAGTTTTAGCAGAAACGTCTACAGCGTGTGTTTGAAGCCTTAAAGAGGTATTTTGAAGTGCTGTTTTGTGTGAATGTTACAAACATTTATTATCTTACCTGTTGCAGATGGTTCACTGGATAATCTCCCTTAGGAGAGAACAAGCATAGGGATGGTGGCGTGACCAAATGCAGCTAAGAACAAAATGGATTGCACTCATTTCTTAGTGATGCAGACGCCATTTTAGAGATTTACACCGCTGTCAGTTTGGCATTACTCAAATACTCACATAGATTTCTACAATTCTTTGCTAATTCAAATGACAGCATGTGGCTGTAGTACTTTTACTGCATCCTGCAGGCACCTTCAGCAGGTGTTCAATCATATTTCTACCTAAATAACCATGTTATGCAAAATTAGCAACAGTGGAAATATTATATGTTAGCGTCCGCTTAAATGGCTTTGAAATTTTGAAGATCAAACTTTTAAGACAGTAAAATCTCTGTCCCCTTGGATTGTATTGAACTAATAACGATTAGTCTGAGCGGACCCACTTCCACTTCAGGAGCCATCTTAGTTTAATAACCGTACAAAACAATTCTCTCGTATGAATTTATTCACTGTTGGCAGTTTTGTTTATACGTTTTTGTCAAAGTATTAGCATAATAATCACAGAATTAGATGTAAATAACCGTGTAATGAAGCATTAAAGGCCATGACGTGAAATTATGGACATGAAGGTTTAAAAATGGCACAGATCAGTACTAGCTTTTAGCTCATTAACTCTATTTCTCCAAACTGAGATAGCTTACAAAGCCATCTATAGCAGGTAAGATATTAACTGTGTACAACTTTTACACAGAACACTACTTCATAATGGATAAAACATCCCTTCAGCAGGAAAACTGTATTTCCTGCCACATCATTAAGGGTGGTATTTATTCATTTGTGTCATTACTGTAGTTTCTAACGTTCATAAAGTCCTAATTGACACATTTCGTCACTTCCTGTCTCAGCTACAACAAATTATTCTGCCAAACAAATGTTTTGTGTGTGCAATTAATCTTAATGTGCAGACGTACATGAGGGCTCAGTTTGATTACGACCCTACCAAGGACGACCTCATCCCGTGCAAAGAGGTCGGCCTAAAGTTTCAAACCGGAGACATCATCCACATCATCAACAAGCAGGACCCCAACTGGTGGCAGGGCCGGGTGGAGAGCAGCGCCGTCGACTTTGCCGGACTCATTCCCTCCCCCGAGCTCCAAGAATGGTATACGTCATATCTGGTGGTCGACGCTTCAGAGTGAAATATGCACATGGCCACGTGCCGCAGACTTCACATGCGTTTTTCTTTGCAGGAGGGTGGCCAGTAAGAGCAAGGCCAAGGAGGGCACTCAGTCCTGCAGCCCGTTTGGGAAGAAGAAGAAGTGCAAAGACAAATATCTGGCTAAACACAGCTCGAGTGAGTGTTTCCACTGGACCTGTTCTTCCAGCTCCTTCACTCAGTCCATCTCGACGGCAGGCTCATCCTAACGTTAAACTTGTTTCAGTTTTTGACCAGCTGGACGTGATTTCTTATGAAGAAGTTGTGAGACTCCCTGCTTTTAAAAGAAAAACTCTGGTGCTGATAGGTAAGCAGAACCCAGTTATTCTCATCAGTACTTTGAGTATGAGCTCCAACATACTTTGAAGTAGACTTTCTCCATCGGGTTATTTCTGAAATTCATCTTCAAATGACATTAGGGATAATTTATAAATTAAACTCCTTTGAAGTAACTTTATTTTGAAAATTGGGCACTTCTCAGGAGCACCTGGTGTTGGAAGGAGCCACATCAAAAATGCACTGCTGACAAAATACCCGGAGAAGTTTTCATACCCTGCTCCACGTAAGGAAACCTCTAGTGTTTTTCTTCACATGAGAAGAAAAAACTGATGTTCATTTTGTTAATTATTTATTTTTCATTTTGCGTAGACACAACCAGACCCCAACGAAAGGACGAGGAGAACGGACAGGAGTATTATTTCATCCCAAACGAAGACATGACCAAGTGCATCTCGAAAAACGAGCTCCTGGAGTACGGCAGCTTCCAGGGATACATGTTTGGTACCAAGTTTGAGACCATCATTAAGATCCACGATCAAGACAAAGTTGCCGTGCTGGATGTAGAACCACAGGTCAGAATGGACTTAATGTTTGGGACATAAAAATTAGATCTGACTGAATCTTTACTGTTATCCCACTTCAGTATGTGTATAAATTCATCTACACAGTGTGACTCCTCCCCACTTGAATATCTTGCAACAAAAACATTAAGGTTTACTTTCATTCTCTAGAAAAACACTCATCTTGCAAACTACAAACATTCACTATTCAAATCCCTCATCGATGGGGAACATTGACATACTGCTTTTTTTTTTGGATTAAGGGCATTTATTGAACCTTAGTTTTATTTAAGGTCCCAGACACTCTACACTCTCCATAACCTATTAAAATATTGCTGGATTGTGGTAAGTTTAGAAAAGTTATTTCCATGTAAAGGCAATCATGACAATGCCATGTTTTTTCCCATAATATTTTCACATGCACAAAATGCTCCCTTCACCATCACACGCTCTATACACCCATGTCAGGACTCAGCTGTGCACTACAAGATTGTGCTTGTGTGATGCTACCTCCACAGGTTAAGTTGTTTACTATGATCTTGTCACAATCATATTTTTAACAAAGGCATGAGAGCAGCATGGCCAGACCTGCTTCAAATTCTCAATGACCAACTCATCCCAGTGCGAGTGGTCTCCATGTGGTGGCTATTTAGACATTGTTGCCATCGTCCCATGCTCCACCTAGGACCCCCATGATGAAAAACCACAACAACCTTGCTCAACTATTTTGGTCCCATCATACCATATGCAGAGCCCGTTGCATATGCACCTGAAAATTTCATCATGACCCTGCTAAGACCATCTTCTGGTAGATATTTCCACGCTGTGATAGGGTTGTCATCTAGTGTAAAGGGAGGCATAACACTTTAACAGAGATGATAAATGATTATTGCTGTCAAACTTGGAAAGCAAGTACCGGCATATCTGTAAATCTTTGCCATAGCAATAGAAAGGAGTATTAAGTTACCTAAAAACAGATCTAAAAGACAACGTATACAAAGTGGAAAAACATTGGACCCAGAATGGACCCTTGTGGAACCTCTGAAGTGCAGAATAAAAATATTTGCAGATGTTGTATGGAAAAACTCCTTTATGCCAGATGAAACTAATATCAGGACAGAACTGTGCCTTTATTATGAAGCACTTGTTCCAGTTGTGAAGCCAGAGTATTATAATTTGCAGTATCAAAGGCTACAGTCAATCAAAAAGTAATAAACAGCAGATGTCCCAGTAGTTAAAAAGACCTTTTGCCGTTTCTATAGAAATGTAAAGAAGGTAGGTAATTTACTGGTCTTCTTACAGTGACCCACTGTTTTACCAATACATGCAATAAAGATTTGACTTTGGAATAGAAAAACTGGCACATATATCAGGACGAGAAGAGATAATAGGCATCTCATTTTCTATAAGGATTGGGCGCCAGTATATTTGTTCTCAGCATACAGAGGGACGATGTTTTGTACAGCTGGGTATGGATAGGTTGTCATTTCATTTCACATATTTTTACATACTATATACTCAAAATTCCCGTGACCCTTCATGCTCATGTGTGCCGAGGCTCCAGCTCCACACAATCCTGCTCAGGATCAAGCTGTTCTTTGTTCTTTATTTGTTCGAATCTTGGGTAGTTGCAATTCTGTTGTGCTGCTAAAGTTTGTCTAAAGTATTACAAACCTTTGTAAGGGTGCAATACCTCTTTTATACCTGTTGACTATTAACAATAATGTTCCATGTTGTTAGTGTAATATGTCTAAACGCTCATTGTTTTGTTGGAATTTTTAAAGTTTGATTTGACTGAATGACAAACGTTCTTGCAGACCTTGAAACTGGTGCGGACCGCCGATTTTGCTCCTCTGGTGGTGTTCATCGCTCCCACCAACACAGCTCCACAGGTGCTCTATCTTCATCCGTTGTTTTTTAATCTCTTGACACCATGAGCCAACAGCGGCTGACCTTCTTGTTTCTTCTCTCGTAGACGGAAAACCTTCAGATGATCCAGAAAGAGTCCGATGCCATCCTGAGCACATACAGACACTTTTGTGACGTGGTTCTCGTCAACAACGACGTGGATGAGAGCGTTAAAGGGGTGGAGGAGGCCATAGAGCATGCCACATCCACCCCCCAGTGGGTGCCTGTATCATGGGTCTACTGAAGGACCCTTGGCCTCGCTTTTATTCCTTACTGTTTGTTGAAAAGCAGTGCAACATCACTCCTTACACCAAACCTCTGAGTTAGCAACGTCCTCTGTGTTTTCTATTTGGAAGCATTGTTGTCACAGAGATTATTTTGCACTGAATTAGTAAAAATAAGCAATATGTTGATCTCAGAACCTCACCAGGGAAGCTTCACCCGGTTGTTTAGACATTCGTGCTTCGTACTTTCGAGGGGCCGCATGCCTTTTTAAGATTGATGCAAAACAAGACCACGACTGTGAAGGAAATTACCAAATTTGGTCACGTGAAAAAGCTCGGCTCAAGATGATTCGTTTTCTTTAATCACTTCCCATAAGATTCGGAGATTCTTCGCCCATCCTGTCTGTGTAACATCATACAGTGTCCTCTGCACAAAATCTTTCAGACAACCAGTGACAACCTCCTGGCTCTTTGACACTGGATTTGATCAAACCTGTATACCTCAAGGGGTTACCGTAAAGGCACTTTTCAACAACAACAACAACAACAAAAAAACAATAAATGGTCTTAGCTCTGGTGCAAGTGTCTTTACCTGTGTTGTTTTGTTCTCCCTCATAAACTGGTCTGAACAAATTTAGGAGATTTTACTGAGAAGAGAATGTTTTAGATTCATCAATTTTGAGCAGTGACTTTGATTTTTACTGATAAAAGAGAAGTACTATTGGACTTTTCATTGAAGGAATGCATATTGTTCACCAACTTCAAGATTCAAGACTTCAGTGAAACTCTACTCATGTTAAGAAGCATTTAAATCGTACGACATCATGCACATTCCTGCTAGATGTGTTGAGTATATTGGAGATAACTATCAGCTAATACCACTGAATTTGGCTTAGTATCTGTAAAGTTTAGCCATTTTTATGTTGGTCAATGCTGTTAAGCTGTGGCGGCCATCTTGAATTGAGCAGAATTCACATCGAGCTGTAGATGTAGTCCCTGATTAATTTCTATATATATATATATATATAAATATAGATAGATACATATATAGATATATATACATCTATATATATATATATATATATATATATATATATATATATAGATATACATATATATATATATATATAGATATATATATAGATATATATATATATGAGAGATTTATACACATATATATATATATATATATACAAACAAGTGATTCCAATAGTTGGGACACTAAACAAATTGTGAATAAAAACTGAATGCATTGATGTGGAGGTGCCAACATCTAATATTTTATTCAGAATAGAACACAAATCACAGATCAAAAGTTTAAACTGAGAGAATGTATCATTTTAAGGGAAAAATCTGTTGTTTCCAAATTTCATGGTGTCAACAAATCCCAAAAAAGTTGGACAAGTCCATTTTTACCACTGTGTGGCATCCCCCTTTCTTCTTACAACACTCAACAGACGTCTGGGGACAGAGGAGACCAGTTTCTCAAGTTTAGAAATAGGAATGCTCTCCCATTCATGTCTAATACAGACCTCTAACTGTTCAATCGTCTTGGGCCTTCTTTGTCGCACCTTCCTCTTTATGATGCGCCAAATGTTCTCTATAGGTGAAAGATCTGGACTGTAGGCTGGCCATTTCAGTACCCGGATCCTTCTCCTACGTAGCCATGATGTTGTGATTGCTGCAGAATGTGGTCTGGCATTATCGTGTTGAAAAATGCAGGGTCTTCCCTGAAAGAGATGACGTCTAGGTGTGAGCATATGTTGTTCTAGAACCTGAACATAGTTCTCTGCATTAATGGTGCCTTTCCAGACATGCAAGCTGCCCATGCCACAAGCGCTCATGCAACCCCATACCATCAGTGATGCAGGCTTCTGAACGGAACGTTGATAACAACTTGGGGTATCCTTGTCCTCTCTGGTCCGGATGACATGGCATCCCAGTGTTCCATAAAGAACTTCAAATCGTGACTCATCTGACCACAGAACAGTCTTCCATTTTGCCACACTCTATTTTAAATGACCTCTGGCCCAGTGCAAACGTCTGAGCTTGTGGAGCTTGCTTAGAAATGGCTTCCTCTTTGCACTGTAGAGTTTCAGCTGGCAACGGCGGATGGCACGGTGGATTGTGTTCACTGACAATGCTTTCTGGAAGTATTCCTGAGACCATTCTGTTATTTCCTTGACAGTGGCATTCCTGTTTGAGGTGCATTGACGTTTAAGGGCCCAGAGATCACGAGCATCCAGTAGAGTTTTACGGCCTTGACCCTTATGTACAGCGATTGTTCCAGATTCTCTGAATTTTTTGATGATGTTATGCACTGTTGATGATGATAACTTAAAAGTATTTGCTATTTTACGCTGGGTAACACCATTCTGGTATTGCTGCACTATCTTTCTGCGCAACAATGGTGGAATTGGTGATCCTCTTACCATCTTGGGTTCTGAGAGACACTGACACTCTGAGAAGCTCTTTTTATACCCAATCATGTTGTCAATTGACCTAATTAGTGTTAAATGGTCTTCCAGCTTATCGTTATATGCTCAATTTCCTGTTTCCAGCCACTTATTGCTACTTGTCCCAACTTTTTTGGAATTTGTTGACACTGTGAAATTTTGAATCAACATATTTTTCCTGTAAAATGTTACATTTACTCAGATTAAACTTTTGATCTGTCATCTATGTTATATTACGAATAAAATATTGACATTTGCCATCTTCACATCATTGCATTCCGTTTTTATTCGCAATTTGTTTAGTGTCCCAACTTTTTTGGAATACGGTTTGTATATCCGCATACAAAATCAGAAAGCTGAGTGCTTCAGGTGTTTGTGACAGATGAGGGTCAACGTGTCTCATTTCACAAGTCAGCAAATTTGATCTTATTTACCTCAGTGTGAATGTCATCCAACCAGAACTGAAGCTAAAGTAACTTTTTAAATAAGCTTTATTCCTAGCCCCCATGGTGCCTTGCGTGAATCATGGGCACGACTTCCAGCGAGGACCAGAACTGGTGTTTGTTTATGTGAGAACAGTACAAGCTAATTTAGTTTCTCTGAGCATTGTGGATTTCATTTAAATGTAAGAACACAACCTGTCAGATCGCAAACAGGACAATATAATCATTCTGCTGCCTTCTCCGGACGAGAGATGGAGGACGACCTGAACAATGAAAGAGAATGGAAAAAGAAAGAAGAGTAGCGGTCATAGAAACTGGGGATCAGGAAGTGGGAAAGATTAGTGAGGGTGAAGTCCGGAAAGCTCTGAAAAGAATGAAGATGGGGAAGGCAATAGGACCTAGGACCAGTGGAGGTTTGGAAATGTCTTGAAGAGATAGCAGTGATGTTTTTGACTGAAATATTCAATGACATATTTGAGGGTGAGAAAATGTCTGAGGAATGGAGGAGATGTGTACTGGTGCCCATTTTTAGGAACAAGGGTGATATACAGAGTTGTAGCAACTACAGGGGAATTAAGTTGATGAACCACACAATGAAGATCTGGGAGAGAGTTGTGGAAACTGGAGTTGGATGAGAGGTGACCGTGAGCAGCAGTATGGTTTCATGCCCAGAAAAAGCACCACAGATGCCATCTTTGCTTTGAGGATGCTGATGGAGAAGTACAGAGAGGGTCAGAAAGAACTTCATTGTGTTTTTGTGTAGGGATGCACAATATTGGATTTTTGGCCGATATGTTAAAACTCATTTGGCCGATAACCGATGCCGATACCAATATTGTATATATGTTCTTTGAAAGAACACAGCCCTCTTATTTAGGCTTATATGCTACAAAAAATGTGCAACAACTGTAAGAGCTGGTGACATATATTCAGGAACAGCCATATGATATGCATAACACTTTAACTTATATTAAATGGAAAGTGTTAAATGTTATTTATTAGCATTAGTCACCTGCAATGCTGTTTCACTTGTGGAGGCTTGTTCCAGGTTCCTAGCAGCAGTGTGGGATCCTCTGCACTCCTGTGCATGAAGGACAGCCTTTTTAAGTTCCAAGTTTTTGTCTATTCATCGTGCCGTAAGACTAATCATGCTAACGGGGCTAACACGACGTCCAAATGTCTGTGGTAAAACTCACAGAACAAGTCATGCTATCGGCTATTAGCTTCTCAACAACATCGGAAATGACTGCTTGTAACTCGGGTAACGTTACGTCGGAAAAACATCTCTGACTGGGGATGATGTAGCGAGGCTCAACGTAGTCCATAAATTTTCAGAATCAGAAATCCTCACCAACGAAAAATGAAACTTCCATACTGCTGACATTTTGAATTATACTCTCCACCGTGAGGTGCCCATGATATCATTGCGTTGGACTGCCGTTGCAGGCAAAAACAGCACCTTTTATATCAAGTTATTTTAATTGAATGGCCAATGTCCAATATTGAACTTTAGTGCTAATATCGGCCGATACCATGCCGATAATATTGTGCATCCCTATTTTTATGGATTTAGAAAAAGCATATGACATGGTGCCGATGGAGGAAGTGTGGTATTTCATGAGGAAATCTGGAGTGGCAGAGAAGTATGTTAGACTGGTACAGGACATGTATGAGGACAGCAGGACAGTGGTGAGATGTGCTGTAGGAGTGACAGATAGCTTCATGGGGGAAGTGGGAGTGCATCAAGGATCAGCTCTGAGGCCCTTCTTGTTTGCTCTGGTGATGAACTAACTAACAGATGAGGTCAGGCAGGAATCCCTGTGGACTATGATGTTTGCAGATGACATTGTGATCTGTGGTTAGAACAGGGAACAGGTGGAAGAGAACTTGGATAGGTGGAGGTATGCAGTTGAAAGAAGAGGAATGAAAGCCAACCGTAGTCAGACAGAGTACATGTGTGTGAATGAGAGGGAGGCTGGTGGAACAGTGAGGCTACAAGGAGCAGAGGTCACAAAGGTGCAGGACTTCAAATACATAACTTGGGGTCCACTGTCCAGGAAAATGGGAGTGTGGTAAAGAGGTGAAGAAGAGTCCAGGCAGGATGGAGTGGATGGAGAAACGTTTAGGAGTGATTTGTGACAAAAGGTATCAGCAAAGGTCAAAGGAAAAGTTTACAAGACAGTGGTGAGACCAGCTATGTTGTATGATCTGGAGACAGAGACATGGACAAAAAGACAGGAGACAGAACTTGAAGTGGCAGAAATGAAGATGTTGAGGTTCTTCTTAGGAGTGACAAGGATAAATAAGATTAGGAATGAGATCATCAGAGGTACAGCACAGGTTGAATAACTGGAAGAAAAAGTTAGAGAGACCAGACTGAGATGGTTTGGACATGTCCAGAGGAGGGACAGTGGGTATATTGGTAGAAGGATGTTAGAAATGCAGCTGCCAGGAATAAGACAAAGAGGAGATATATGGATACAGTTAGAGAGGACATGGAGGTAGTTGGAGTGAGGACAGAAGAAGCAGAGGACAGAGATGGAGGAGGATGACTTGCTGTGGAGACCCCTGAAGAGGGAAAAGATGAAAGAAGAAGAATAAATAAGTTTTAAAACAAAAAAATATCAAATTTAAAAATACATCCATTTATTATCCCTTGTTCTCTGTCAATATTTCAATTTTTAAATAATGTGTTTCATTATATTTTATTAAATCATCTAAAAAAAGTCCCTTAGTAAATTCCAAACTTACAGCTACCATTCTAATAAATCACGATACTCACAAATACTGTATATACAAACATTTCAGTAGACAAGTCAAGTCAGAATGCTGAACTATTTGTACCTGCAAGCTTTTCAGCATTTGTTCTGTCCCATTTATGTATTTTTATTTATTTTTGTTGTACTTTCCACTTCAAGATCAAGGATTATTGAAAAAACATCCGTAAACTTTTTATTTTTATGTAACCTTTACTTATACAGGTAGTCTCATTGAGCCACGAGAACTCATTTTCAAGAGAGACCTGTTTAGGGAGCAGATGGTGGGGGTTAAGGGCCTTGCACGGGGGGCCCAGAGTGGGGCGAATGAGAGGGGGGGCAGGTGTGGGTGTTCCACCTAAATGTGGGTGGAAAAGTAAAGTGCTTCGAGAGACTGGTTCTCCAGCACATCAAGGACTATCTCCCTCTGAACTTTGACCCCTGCCGGTTTGCATATTGCACCAACAGGTCCACAGGATGCTATTGCAGTAGCTCTCCACACCGCGATGAGCCGCCTGGAACAACAGCACAGCTACGTTTGAATGCTCTTTGTGGATTACAGCTCGGCCTTTAATACAATCATTCCGGACATTCTTTTAAATATATTGGACAATCTCGGCCTCCCCCCACTCACATGTGCTTGGATAAAAGACTTCCTAACCAATCGGCCCCAATCTGTAAGACTTGGTCCCCACCTCCGCTCGTACGCTGATCGCTGGCTCCCCACAGGGCTGTGTGCTGAGCCCCCTGCTGTACTGTCTCTACACCCACGACTGCAGCCCGGCCCACAACAACAACCTCATCGTCAAGTTCGCTGATGACACCACAGTGGTCGGACTAATCTCTAAGGGAGATGAGACATATTACAGACAGGAGGTCCTGGAGCTAGCAACCTGGTGCTCAGAGAAAAATCTGGCTCTGAATATCAAAAAAACCAAGGGGGTAATTATTGATTTCAGGAAGCACAGCACCAACCTAGCCCCCCTTCACATCAATGGCGAGTGCGTGGAGAGGGTTCACACTTTCCAATTTCTTGGTGTCCATATCTCTGCTGACCTTAACTGGAAAGAGAACACCACAACGGTCATCAAGAAGGCTCAGCAGAGACTACACTTAAGAGTACTTAAGAAGCACAACCTGAACACCAAATTGCTGTTGACCTTCTACCGATCATCCATCGAGAGCCTGCTGACATACTGTATCTCAGTATGGTACGGCAGCTGCAACCTGGCTGACAGGGAGAGGCTTCAGAGAGTAGTCAAGACAGCACAAACGATAACTGGCTGCCCTCTCCCCTCCCTGATGGACATTTACACATCACGCTGCCTCAACAGAGCAGAAAGCATAATCAAGGAATGTTCACACCCGGGTTTTGAACTGTTTGACTTGCTACCTTCAGGGAAGCGCTACAGGTGCATCAGAACACGAACAAACAGATTCAAGAACAGTTTTTTCCCGAAAGCCATCACCACACTGAACTCACACATGCACTGATTTAATAATCTAACCTCCCAAACCCCTGGACTTCTATTGTGCAATACTACTGACATTTCATACCCTCAGTCACCTTAACTACCTCACTAATATCCATAATGTGCAATATAATTGTGAAACACTTGTATTTTTTACTTTCATAGTGCTATTATATCTACATTGCGTTGCATTTTTTATATTTTTAGTGTGTGTTTTTCTTAAGGCGTGTTTTTGCACTGAAAAAAGGAGTGGCTCTTAATTTCATTGTACTTGCGTATAATGACAATAAAGGCATTCTGATGTTGACTGTACCGGGAGTTGAACCTGCGACTTTCCGATCACACACCCATCTTCTAACCTCTGCGTCACCACTCCCCCTAATAATTTCATTTCCTTTAGTTACAAAGTTGTCTAATTACCACAAGCAGTCTGCTCTAAGTATGCTCAGTATTATGAAAAACGAGAGTACAAAGATTCAAACTGTCACAGATTGTAACAGTTCTAACAAATTTAAAACATCTCGCAAGACGGATACAGTCGTAACAAGTTTCTGTCCCGCGAGTCTTGAGTTGGACAACATTTGTTTGAGAGTTCCAGTGGCTTTTAAGGGATGTCCACTTAAACAGCAATTTAGATTTTTGTGTGTGTCTTGATACTCAGAAAAGCATAAATATAATTAAGGTATGCCATGACTTTTAAAGAAAAAAGTTCACATTACTTTACCAAAGAAGTTTTCAGAAATACTTTTTTTAAATTAGATCTTTTACATTTTGCTCCATCCTCTCATTTTGTTTTTACACAAATAAAAAAAAAAAATTGTTAGCAGCTGCGATAAAGTCATAAGGCTCCTAAGGGTCAAATGAACATCACGAGCCATGGTTACCATGGCAACATCCTCCTTTCATAACCTAAATAATAGTGAGCTTTAGCACCACCTGATGGCTGAGTTTGTACTTTCATAATAATAAAAACCCGAGAGGTCCTCATCTGAAGGTTTTTATCATCTGTTGGGTCAGTGCTGCTCAATAAATCTGTAAAGTTTAAGATCCTCGCACCACAGGGCTTGATCTGAAGAAAAGATGCAGCCGCTCAGGGTTCATGGTGCCTTTCTTTTCTTATTCATCAAAATGAATAAATTAAAATGGCAAAGAGACCAGTGTCAAAGTTCATGCTCAATAATCCAGGTATAAAATCCAGCAAAGTTCAGTCAGGTCACCTGGACGGTTTCTTTTTGTTTGTTTGAGACGTTTTGTCCTTTGACCTGGATTATTGAGCATGAACTTTGATGTTCTGAAACCATCTTATCACCAGCAAACTGGTTGGCCCACTGGTGTGAGCTGCTTGTGGGACTCAGTGTTTTTTGTGGCTCCTCGAACTGATGAAGTCCTTTGGATGAAGGATGAAACGTCTCAGAAAAATAAAAGAAAAACTGTCCAGATGACCTGACTGAACTTTGTTGGAAAGAGACCAGTGCTTTCACCTGTCTTTGGTTTTTTATGGTCATGTTTCCAGAAATGTATAGAACTTTGTTTCATAATTATTTTATCTTTACCTGTCTGACCAGCAACATCTCTGAAGTGCAAATGTTCAGGACGCCTACCAAGAAAATGACTGAATTAATAATTAATATAATCATTTTTATTTTGAGTGCTTGATTGTTTAAAAAGAACAGGAAATGTTTATCAAGGCAAAAATGCTTGAAGAGGCAGCAGTTCCAACCTTTTAAAGTGGGGTTCTGTGAACAGAATGTGAACAAATATCATCTTACCTGTTGTAGATAGTTCATCCATCCATTATCTTTTACCCACTTCTTTCATTTTGGGTCACGGGGGTTGCCGGTGCCCATTATACAGTTAATCCTTAACCTTTGTGCATTGTGCAGTTATTTCAGCCAAAATTACAGTGATTATTAGAACTGTCTAAATAAATCAAAAGTACAGTTAACTGCTACTGCCAGTATTTGCAGCTACTAACCAGAAAATTCCAGGTAAATAACTCTGCATTGTGAAACTGAAGGCAATGTCAAGGTTATTTTTATTTTATTTATTTATTTATTTGCATAAACTGCTTGTACATTTTTAAGAATGGGCTTGTTTTAAAATGCAAGCACACTGACTAGCCTTAAGCTCATCAATTTGACAAGAAAAAAGATCTCTTTCGCCAGTCTGTTGCAATGAAAGAACTATCTAAATCAGATAAAATATTAACTGTTCATAACACTTTCTAGTAAAATAATAAATAAAATACAGTGTAAGTATAAATGAGTGTATAAGGCAGCAGCAGTATCGTGATGAAGACGTGAGGACAGCGCAAAGCTAATTTTATCTTGTTACAACCGTTGTTGGTTGGCGCACTCGCTGATGGCTCGCAGGCCAGTGAACCAGTCCACGACCCGCAGTCTGCTGACATCAAATCTTTGGCACAAATCGACAAGCATGGAACCCACCCCGAGCCAAACCTTACGATGTAAAAGGACCATAATTCTCTCATCTGGCCCAGAAAAGCCCTGGTATCCTCCCAGAAGAGCAGAAAGTGGCTGTGGAACTAGATGCCTGCTCTCCCTGGTCAAGCTGCTGACCTGGAACAAGCACAAGATGTTGGATGTTGCTTTTAATCACATTTTATGACAACCTTTTTTTTGGAAAATTATGAAGTAATTCAACAAAGATTAACAACTGCAATTCTTGGAGGCACACTGTCTGCTTTGACTTGCAGAACATTTTGTGTATTTTGTGTAACACATTATACTTTTAGGTACAATATATACAATATATTATAGTATTTTATATGTAATATATATTTTTATATAGCCTATTGTGTATATTTTTACATAGGCTTTATACTGCAGTCCCAATTAGTCTAAGCATCCTCCGTCCCGTCCGACCTCCCATTGGCTGGAAGAGGCCCGCGGGCCGTCAGTTGATAATCACGGTTTTAACACTTCCTGTTGTCCAGGACCAAAACACTGATAACGTCTCCATCACGTTACACTAAAGCACCTAATCCAGTGTCAAGCGGATTAAAACCTGTAAAATTAAGTGGCTCTTGCCCACGAGCGGAATATTCTTAACTCGCCCCCAGGTGGGTTAGCTCTCCGTCAGGTCCGCGCGATGAGAGATAAAAGCGCCGGCCGCGAGCCTGGCCACGCCCCCTTTCCAAGAGCGCCATTTTGTTAACACACAGCCTTGCAGTCAACCTTCGCTCCTTTTGAGGAGTTTTAAACCAAAATGTCGCCCTAAAACGCCCCGTCTGCGTGGTGCGCCGGGCCCAAGACCTCGCGTAGTGGTGCGCGTGGATGAAAAAGAGCAACAAAAAATCCAAACAGCGCTGTCGCGAGCCGTCACGCGGCGCGTGGGCAGCGCATCGCCACCCATTTTAACATGAAAACTTCCCCGCTGCTGACGTCACCGAGCCATCTTTGTCCACCTAATCCGGGCGGCTGTCTGTCCCACCTTCATTACCGCTCACGCTCGGGCTCCAGTAAATAGCTGCAGGTGCCGCGTCGAGCAAAAAGAAACGAAAGAAAGACGCTTTTTGTAGCGAGGGAACACAAAGCAGTGGAGAACCTCCACAAGAACCGAGCGAAGGCTGCCAGAGGCTAGAGGGAAGGCGAAACATCCGTCTGCCAGACACTTAGGACGCGGATTTCAGCGCAGCTGTCTAGCTAGTACCGCCAGAAAAATGTAAGTACATCAACTTTTAAATAAATATCACAATTTATTCCTCACGACTAATCCTGTGGTAGGCTCCCTGCGGTTCTCCGCCGTCACGTATTTGCGGGTATTCCCCGCGTCTTTGTCAATAAATCTTAAATGGCGCCGTTGAATTTAATAATTTCCCAACCGTTTTTTTTTTTTTTAAATTAATATTTTAATTTATTTTTAATCACGGGAAACACACGTGAACGCAGAAGCTAAAGGTGTCGGCCTAAGCTACAGGAGCAGCAGGACTTTAGCTTTAATCTGTCCTTGTTGTTTCGCCTCATCAACGAGCCCGGTTCGTGTTTGTCGCCCGGTTCCGTCCTCCTGTGACCGTAGCGCCGGCACGCACGGGTGTATTTTCCAGTTTGGACCGGTTCGAACCGAGAATTGAGACGTGTCTGTGTTAATTGCACAAGGTTAAATAAAATTATAACGTTAAACAAAGGTGCTTTCTCTCCGCTCTCTGCCTGTCAGACTGAACTCGGGGCTTATTTAGCTCCTAGCAGCGGGTTAGGCTAATTCTAACAAACCGCCGTTAAGAGCCGAACAGCTTCGGGTTCTGGTTCCGTGAGCTCGTTCAACACGGAACACGTCGACTATATTCAATGGACACGTTTTAAAACTGGTCGTTTTCTGTGATTTTAGGAGTGATTTAGGTTTACGGGCCTAAATTCGCAGCCTGTGGAGGGGGAAGCGGGGTGTGTGTGTGGGGGAGAGAGCCTAGCTTACTGTATGTCGTCGATGGTCGTGCGAGGGCGGACAGCCACATATGGCGTCCTCCTGCTCAAATCGGACTCAATCGTGTGCCTGTTTGCGTCTTAAACCACAGCCGACGTCTAAATGGAGCCCCAAGGTGAAGCTCTGTCGGTGTTTCTTCACAGTCACGGCGTTGACACGGCCTAACATACAACTAACATGCATGTCATCCGACCTTATGGCTCCTGAGAGGTGTCCCTTCTCCTTCTGCAGGTCCCATTTGTTAGCAGATGTGTGTCTTGGGTGCTCACATTAAAGAGCCTCCACGCCCTCACCGTGTAAGGCTTTCAGCAGTTTCATTGTGCCCCTTTTATGGAGCATTGTTGTGTCATAAAACTGAATAAAGTCGTGTAACATCAGGATGAATGCAGCTGGATGCTGAGGAGCTGTCCGGTGCTGAAATGTCGCTGTCCGGTGCTGAAAAACAAGCGTCATGCTTCTCAATGACAGCTGAACACAAGCCTGCTTTGTGTTGAAAAGTGGTGAATTCTGCTGCTGCTATCTTTAGTGAGCGACTCTCCATAAATTTTTTTTTATCTTTATAAGCCCTGATCGTGAACGAAGGTTGAATATTTTTAGCAGCACAAGTCATGTGGGACCCTTCACCTTCGCAGTAGGTCATCAGATGCAATTTCCCCCTTTTCTCTTTTTAATTGTATGATTTTAAAACATGAATATTAGGAGGTGGTTTCATTTAAAAAGAAATGCATGAGACAGTCGGTCGTCTTCAGACCGGCGCAGATCCGAATTGGTTGGTCCACCTGGCTGGGTCGGATGCAGTAGGTGGCGTTCACAGGATGTGGAAGCTGATGAGAAACCTCGTCACTGCTTCAGAAGCTCTTCCTGGTGTTAGTGGGGAGGCGATGACAGCAAGAACCTCTGTGCACGTCACTCCTTTGTGGGGTGGAAGTGAGAAGAAGCACGCAGCAGCTCTACAGATGTTCACTTATTTAAAATTAGACTTATTGATTCATTTGCTACAGTTTTGAAATTTAAACCTTTTTTCTTATACCATAGTTTGTAGGATGCACGATATTGTTTTTTGGGCCAATATGCCGATATGTTAAAACTTATTTGGCTGATAACCGATATTTTATATACTTTCATTTATCAGAACATATCCCTCTTATTTAGGCTTATTTGCTACTAAAAAATGTGTAACAGCTGTAAGAGCTGGTGACATATATTCAGTAATAGCCATGTGCTATGCATAGCACTTGTGGAGGCTTGTTCCTGGTTCCTAGCTGCAGTGTGGGATCCTCTGCACTCCTGACAACCTTTTTAAGTTCTAAGTTTTTGTCTATCCATTGTGCCGTAAGACTAATCATGCTAACGGGGCTAACACTTGATATCTGTGGTAAAACTCACCCAAGTGCTATCGACTATTAGCTTCTCAATGATGTCGGAAATGACGGCATGCAACTCGGTTAAGGCTACGTCGGAAAAATATCTCCAACTGGGGACGATGTAGCGAGATTCAACGCAGTCCAAAAATATTCAGAATCTGACACCCTCAACGAAAAAAAAACTTCCACACCGCCGACATTTTGACTTCTTTTTCTCCGCCATGAGATCAGTTAGACGTGCATGATGTCATCACGTTGTGCTGGCGCTGCAGGCATCCTTGTCACCGGGTTGTCATACGAAAACAGTGTCTTTTATATCGGTGAGTTATTTTGATGGAATGTCCGATGTCTGATATTGAACGTTAATGCTAATATCGGCTGATACATGCCGATAATATTGTACATCCCTAATAGTTTGTAAATATCTAAACATTTAGATTTTCATCTGGTCATCACATGTAGGAAGGTTCTGATGTTGATCAGAGTGTTTGGGTTGGTTCAGAGATCAACTTTTCTAAAAGATTTGCTGCCATTAGAAGATTATTCACCTTTACACAGAGTTTATTCTCTCATCAGTTGAGTCACTAAGTTACAACTGAGTCATACTTATCATCAATTAATGCAGCCTTGGTATTACCACGAGAGGCTAATCAAGCAGCTGACTAATTAATCCATCAATGAATCGGCTGATATTTGTCAATTTTTAGGCATGTGACAGTTTTGCCTGTCTATACTTCACCGGTTGCTAAGCAATTAAAGAAAGGATGAAGTGATAGCTGCTACCAGGAGCTCTCAGACCACTGATGGGTTGGTTTAAATTAAGATTGCTCTTTTTTTTTTTTTTTTTTTTTTTTTTTTTTTTTTAACCTTATAGGTTAAGAATTTTTTTTTATTTTGCCAGAGGAAAACCTTATCACTGTATCCCACAGCCATTGGCTTCCCTGGAGTCTAAAAATCGGCATCGGCTGTAGATTAAACGCATCTTCAGATCTCTAATTTGTCCGTTTGTTCATTTTGCTGTTTTAATATTTTTGAAATCTGAAAACAAAAAGGCAGTTCCTCAGCCCGTTCACCTGCCACAACCTTCTGCCTGAGCTGGGCGGGTGGGGTCCATCATAGTGTTCTGAGATCTGGTTCTGCTTCTGCCCCTGGAAATGTCCTGTAGGACATTAGGGAGGTTGTTGCTTGTCCTTTTTTCAGCTGATCTGGTCACTCTTTGCAGCGTAGCCAGCTTCAGAGCTGTCATCAAGCCAGACGGGGATGGAAAATAACAGTAGGGTATTTTCGTTACACACCAGTAAAATGAACAACTGCATCGAGGCTAAGCTGTTGGCGAGCCTTTTAAATGATCCTAGCTGTGTTTGTGGTCCATGTGAGACCATCAGGCACATTCAGGAGCTTCTTTAATGCTGAAGTTATTTGCCTTACATCACTCAGCTCCCTCCTCTACACGTTTGTCATAGTTAGAAACAGATAAAACAGCAGCAGCGTCATCCTCCACAGAGGTCTTCACCGTGCCGGCTTTAATTATCTTTAACTTTTTAGTCTTCAGTGATGAATAACTGAGAAAAACGTGAATAATTTGGTGTATTTGCTTCTCTCTGTAACAAGAAGAGGATACAAGTACATGACATTCTCTGTGATAACATGTCACTCTCTCAGTTTTACTCTCCGTTACTTCCTGCAGCCTTCATCTGGGCACAGTGCCTCCTCCAGAATCACCCCATCTAGGCCAGAACATGGCAAACTTCACTTCCACAAAAACTACGGCTTTTCTCTTTTGGTAGATTGAAACTCGGAACTAATGAAAAGAACGGATCGTTTTAAGACCAAAGGACTCAAAACCTCCAGATTTATCTTGATTCCGATCCAGTAATATGGTTATCACAGTACCGTAAATTCTGCATTTCTTATCGATAAAAAGCAAAACAAATAATAAAAATACAAGAACGAAGACCACCTGCAGTGAGGTGACCCCCCCCCCCAGGTGATGTTCCTGTGTTTATTGAAGCAGTGCTTTTTCTGTCTTTTGAAGTGACCATGAAACAGTTTATGTTGAATTAAATGAAACACTTTTGTTTCTATCCTGAAAAGCTACAGGACATGTATGAGGACAGCAGGACATGTATGAGGACAGCAGGACATGTATGAGGACAGTGGTGAGATATGCTGTTGGAGTGACAGATTGCTTCAAGGTGGAGGCGGGAGTGCATCAAGGATCGGCTCTGAGCCCCTTCTTGTTTGCTCTGGTGATGGACCGACTAACAGATGAGGTCAGGCAGGAATCCCCGTGGACTATGATGTTTGCAGATGACATTGTGATCTGTGGTTAGAACAGGTGGAAGAGAACTTGGATAGGTGGAGGTATGCAGTTGAAAGAAGAGGAATGAAAGCCAACCGTAGTCAGACAGAGTACATGTGTGTGAATGAGAGGGAGGCTGGTGGAACAGTGAGGCTACAAGGAGCAGAGGTCACAAAGGTGCAGGACTTCAAATACAAAACTTGGGGTCCACTGTCCAGGAAAATGGGAGTGTGGTAAAGATGTGAAGAAGAGTCCAGGCAGGATGGAGTGGATGGAGAAATGTTTAGGAGTGATTTGTGACAAAAGGGTGTCAGCAAAGGTCAAAGGAAAAGTTTACAAGACAGTGGTGAGACCAGCTATGTTGTATGATCTGGAGACAGAGACATAGACAAAAAGACAGGAGACGGAACTTGAAGTGGCAGAAATGAAGATGTTGAGGTTCTTCTTAGGAGTGACAAGGATAAATAAGATTAGGAATGAGATCATCAGAGGTACAGCACAGGTTGAATAACTGGAAGATAAAGTTAGAGAGACCAGACTGAGATGGTTTGGACATGTCCAGAGGAGGGACAGTGGGTATACTGGTAGAAGGATGTTAGAAATGCAGCTGCCAGGAAAAAGACAAAGAGGAGATATATGGATGCAGTTAGAGAGAACATGGAGTTAGTTGGAGTGAGGACAGAGTGAGATGGAGGAGGATGACTCGCTGTGGCAACGCCTGAAGAGGGAACAGAAGAAGTCCCTATTCTTCAAAGCTGACATACAAATGCTTTATATCTGTTTTATTTTCCTTCTCATCAGGTCTGCCCCAGCTGCTGGAGCCCCTGCACCAGAGGGAGCAAATCAGGGTCCTCCCAACCTCACCAGCAACCGCCGTCTGCAGCAGACGCAGGCGCAGGTGGATGAGGTGAGTGCCCTCGTTTACTAAATTCACCTGTAAAACTTCAGATCGTCTGTCATGTCCTGCATATCCATCTTCCTGTCCTGACTGCTGATGGTGTCACTCTGTGTTTTCCCCCCCGTCCCCCAGGTGGTGGACATCATGCGTGTGAACGTGGACAAGGTTCTGGAGCGCGATCAGAAGCTGTCAGAACTGGACGACAGGGCCGACGCCCTGCAGGCCGGAGCCTCTCAGTTTGAGACTAGCGCTGCTAAACTGAAGAACAAATACTGGTGGAAGAACGCCAAGGTGAGTAGGCGCTCACATGGTGACTGAACATGAAGGAACAATGAGCTGTTTTAAATGTATTTACCTCCTAAACAGTCAATTACACGATATCTGTTCACAAATATTTATTTTAAACACATATTGTTAGTTTTTTTAAAAAAATCAGTGGCAGTGCACCTAAAAATGACAGTTAAACAATACAGTTGTGACTGGCGTGAGCTGTGTGTGTTTTAATGTACCAGTCTGCATATTATTGACCTTCGTTTGGAGCAGGAAGATAAAACTTCTGCTTTTGGTCAGGGAAGAATAAAGAGTTGCACTCCAAGAGCCTCAAACACAAAAAGTTTTCAGCTTTAATGAATCCGTACCCCGGCCATCCACACCCGCACGAGGGGTAGGACTCATCAGTCACCCCACCATTTGATTCAGTTACAACTCAGAGAGCTGTGTTATGATGATCAAATGGTTATTGATGCATTTTAAATATCTGGGATTATCAGGTTTGTGAAAAAACACCAGGAGGCAGCTGGTGAGATTATGTTTATCCAAAAAAAATCCTTTAATTTAATTGAATTATTGTTTATATAATAAGTGTCAAGTATTAACAATTACCATACACTAAAACATCAAGGTTCATGCTCAGTAATCCAGGTACAACAATGTTGTTCAGTCCACAATGTTCAGTCAGGTCACTGGACGGTTTCTTCTTTTTTTTTTAAATTTTTTATGGCTGAGATATTTCGTCCTTCACCCAAAGGACTTCATCAGTCCAAAGAGCCACAAACAAACTGATTCCCACAAGCAGCACACTCACATAGTGGAAAAAGCAAAAAAGAAACCATCCAGATCAGGGGTGTCAAACTCACTTACAAAGGGGGCCAAAATTAAAACTTTGGTTCAAACTAAGGGCCATTTTCAGTAACTACATGAGCACAAGTCAGAACCTCAACATCTTCTCTTGGTCTCAGGTTCCTCAACAAGAGTTTGATTGGTTTCATTTGATGTTCTCTGTTGTGCTTTTGTCAGAGTCAGAGATTCTTTATTGTCGTTCGGACCACATGTGGTACATGTGGTACATGTGGTACTTGTACATGTGGTGGAGCGAAATTATGCACACGGGGTCCCAGTTACATCCAACAATAAAATGTCAAAGAAAAACAGTAATAAGATCTAAGACATCATAATCAAAGATTACTAAAATAATTCAAGTGATAAAAGCATTTTACGTTTAACACATCATCTTGGGGGGCCAGAGAAAATGTCGAGGGCCACATTTGACCCCCGGGCCTTGAGTTTGATGTATGTGATCCAGATGAACTGACTGAGCATTGTTAAATACATTAAAACATTTATAGCCTAAGATCATTTGTAATGCCCAATTTTAGAAGGGCTTTTAGCAACAACAAAAATAAATAAATAAATGTAAATAAATAAAAAGTAAATGTACTAATTAAAATTACCAAGGTATATTTTATATAAATGAAAATATATTTCCTTATTTTAATGCCTCATAAAGAGTGCAGCGTAACGCGCTAAAACATTTCAGGCTGCTGAGCAACATTTAGCTTTGATGCTAACTTCTTATTGAAAACAGCGTCGTCTTTACCACTTGAAATTTACTCAAAAATCAAACATTTCAAAGTTGTCACTAGACGGTTTTGTTGCTTCAGCCATTATTTACTGACGTATTCCTCACAGATGAAAAACGTGACAATAAGCAGCAAGTTTTTACCACAGGAACTCTCTGAGGACAAACACCTCAGAGCAGCATCCACAAGTCTTAAAGTGGCAGCACAGATTAACATTACAGATTTAGGACCCCAACCCACTCCCCCTCTGGGCCACAGGAGGCCCCTCATGGGTCAGGTGTGGCCCACAGGCCATCAGTTGATTATTGAGTTATAACTAGAGATGTGGCTAATAAGTGTTCCCCCCCCCCTCCCTGAACATTTTCTGCCTACAGATGATGATTATCCTGGGTGTGATATGTGTGATTGTCCTCATTGTCATTATTGGTAAGAAATCTCTAACTTTTTTTATTGTTCTCTTTGCACTTACTGCTGTTTCTGTAGTTTTTTTAATGTTTAAAACACAACCAGGATCATTAATTGTCTTGTTCTTTTTCTCCCTCCAGTGTACTTCAGCACCTAAGAAGAGTCGCTCCTACCCCGGTCTGATCAAGGCTTTCTTGCTCCAGATGAAAAAACGACCCCAACAACCTTGTATCGATGACTAAATTAACCACAGATGATTATTCATTTATTGTATGTACTTAAATCTCCCCAGCTGGCCTCGATATAACACCCCTAAACCCTTCAGGACTCCTCCAAAAATTCCGTTGAGTTTGGGACCCCCAATCAATATTTGTCCTGTTAAATGTGTGTGTTTGCCCCCCTCCCCCCATGTCTCCTCTCTGGGTCCTCTTGGCTTTTCTAACCTGCCATACTGAGAACCGGGCACCTGCGCAACGCAACAGTAGAAAAGGCAACAATTGGCGCTAGTTGTGATATAACTACTATATATAGTTCTTTGTAGAGTTTTATTCTGATATATGATGTTTTGTAGGTGTGTGTGCGTGTGTGTGTGCGCATTTTGTACTTTTTATTCTTTGTATTAATTTAGCTTCGGCGTTAACTACTGCCTATTAATCGAAGTGTGTTATCTTGCATGTTCTCATCATCTGCGTCTTTTCGACGTACACTCCGATCTTCGCCGTCTGCCGCCCTCGTGTACACAGAGACCAAAACAAGCCGGGGATGTAAAACTTGGACAAAAACAAAAAAAAGGTTTTCCACCATCTGACTCGTGAAGCTCCTCGCGTCGACGTCCTTTTAACGAATAATCAGCGCACGACTCGTGGCTCTCGTCTCAACGATCCCGTCCTCGTCGCCGTCTTGAGTAGGATTTCTGGTTCGGCCTCGGCGTGCTTCGACTCTTCAAACTGCCGTAGTACCGTTGGACCAATGTCTGTAGATGTTCGGGTTTGATTTGAACCGTTACGTAGTGTCTTATTTCGAGAACATTCCTTCATCGCAGTCTAGTGCAGATGCTCTTACTGTAGCACATGTAGGTGTAAAAAAAAATAATTTCAAAATACACGTGATGAAACTAAATGTTGACCGTGCAAACAAGAGAAACATGAGAGGGAGACGTGTTTGTTTATTTTGGATGGTTGGGATTAGATGTGTAATCTGTGCAAATATAATACATTAAAGCAGAATATGTGGTGGAGACGCGTCATCGATGTCGACTGATAGATGTATTTCTGTGAAACGGCGTTCCTCGTGTGCACACTGACCAGCCTTAGTTCTCAGTGTTTTATTTATTTTTCTTGTTGTTGTTGGTTTCCTGTCAAACGCAGCCCTCACACGTTCAGCTCGTGTAGGAGGAGCGGCCGACTGCAGGAATCTGTGAAAGATGCACAAACGTTTCTTGTTTCCGACGGCGACTCCGCAGCAGAACCTCTCCACCCGAAAAGCACATTTAAAAAAAAAACTATTTGTCCCGTCAGGAAAATAACCAACCTTCTTCACAGTTTAGGTAGGAAGTCACTTTTAGCGCATGATGAGAAACTGTAGCATTCCTTCGACGAGCGTTTTCTGTCTTTCTTCTAGTTAAGGCCTTTATTGTTGTTTTTTTTTTTTCTTTTTTAAAAATAGATTCTATTTTTTATTATAGTATATTTTTGTGTGAAACGGACGGGGCGGAGAGGAGGCCACGAACAGTGAGCTCCTCTTTGACCTCGGCCTGCTGTGGTTGTAGTTCAGCTCTGCGTTCCACACTGCCAAGCCTTCTCCTGTTCCGCTCCGTCCTCATCTCTGCGGTGCACACTCCATGAGCTGAAGACTTGATTCCTAGAGAAATTTGTCCAGAGCTGTGTCATCTATTGATCTAAAATCCCGTAGGCAATTGTGGAAAAATAAAAACCAAAGAGAAACTTAGATTTTAGACTTCTTGTGGTCGTCAGAGCTACAAATCTGTTCCGTCGGGTTTTTAACTTCAGACCTGCATAAAGGACAGAAATGAGCTTTGTTCTCTCCTGTAGAGCCGGAATATGAATAAAGGTGAACAAAAAGCCTTTGTGACACAGTCTCTTTCAGCTCCCCCACCAGCTGAGTAAACCAACCTCCGACTCAGACCCCCACCGCGTGCACGTGTGCGTTAGAATAGCTCTAACCCCGGTTGAGCCTGACAGATTAGTCTGCTTAAATCTCACAGCGAGGCTGTCGTTTCCTTCACAGACCCTGAAGAGTCCGCTCTCCCTCGCTGCTCCTATGATCGAACAGCAGGCGATTACCAAAGATCGGACCTATGTGCTAAACACTATTGGCTATATGCAGCGTGTGGGTTCGGCTCGTGAGTGTGCCATGGTAAAATATGCAAACCAAAACATGAAACGTCCAACAGAACCTCCCCCCGTCGTGTGCGTCCGGGTCCGATGAGCCCCCCACTAATCTGTGCAGTCAGCAAACACACCGCCCTGTAACAAGTTATAGCACAAGTTTTCTTTTCTCTGTCTCCGTCGTGCTGCCAGGTTTGAAAAAAAAATAAAATAACTAGCTGTCAGATAAAAATAAGAAAAATTGTACAAAAAAAAATTGCGTTGTTGTTGATGTTGTAATATGGGGTGTTTTGGGGGGTAGGGGGTCCTATATCCTCAGGTTTACAATAAGATATAAATATATATTAATATATGAAGACATAAACTATAAGAGCAAGCTGTAAAATTGGATTCTTTTTGGCAATATTAAGCGATAAAAAGGTTAGAAACGTCATCCTTTTAGCCATTTTGCAGGACCGAAGTGAACCAACGCGGCTGATTTGGGGTAGGACGTGTGCGTTCTCCATCCGACCAACTCGTCGTCCTGCGGAGAGCTCGACCAGCTCGCTCACCACGCTGAAAACCAAGCGGGCGCGCTCTCCTTTTTCTTTTCTCTCTCTGTTGCTTTCTCGTCCGTATGAAAACAAGCGTATATTTGAACACCGTGGCACTTTCTCTTTGAATATTTCCCAAATTTCCGGCGGGTCGACGGAGTGAGAATATTGCGTCAGCCTCGAGAACCGTTCAGTGATCTCAGCGCTGCGTTCAGGTCCATTCGAAAGGGGGCCGAGCCACTAGCAGGAAACGGCGCACTAATTTGACCAGAACTTGTTAGCAGGAAGAAAAGAAGGAACCCTTTGAAGGGAGATGAACGCACCGACAGGAGGGAACCTTTAGAGTCGCTGAACGCTCTCTGGACGCCTTCAGATGTATGATATTCCACACACGCCGGCGTGTTTTACTTTTGAACCAGATGTTTTTGTTTGGCTTTTTCAATGGTTCCCAACACTGGTCCCTGAGGAACACCATCCTGCATGTTTTAGTTGTTTCCCTGCTCCAACATACCTGATGCAATGATTTAATTACTTCATCCAGTTCTGCAGAAGCCTGTTAATCACCCATTTATTCAAATCAGGTGTGTCAAAGGAGGGAAGCAACTAAAACTTGCAAGATGGTGTTCCTCAAGGACCAGTGTTGGGAGCCACTGTGTTCGATAACTCCAGATGTCACTGAACTGTTTGTGTCAGCACCGATGGGTAAAGGTCAAGCAAATGGAAAGTCAGTGATGAGAAAAGAAAAAAGTTTACATCAGAACGCTGTTTGGTGTGTTCAAATGATTTCATTTTTTTTTTGTTTGTTTGTTTGTTTTGGGGGGGGGGGGGGGGTGCTGGATTAAAAGCCTACATTGCTTCTGCTCATCTGGCCTCACAGGAGGGACAAGGCTGGATGATCACAGGCAATGTGTTCATCTTTTATTTATTTATTACTTCCTGTTGCTTTTATTTATTGATAGAGTTCTTGTGCTGTCTGTTGGTCCGGAGTTAGAAACTAAAGGTGGATTCAGCGCTGACTGAGCAGACTGAAAGACAAAGTTCATGAAATAACTAGTGTAAATCTATCAGTGTCTTAATATATTGATGAACATCATGAAATATATGTATATTGGAAAAAAAAAAAAAAAACAGTATTTATGACAACCTGTACTTTTTGTGTGTGTTTCATGTGCTTTGTGTGTGTACAGCCACGAGAAGCTGTCATTTTGACTGCAGTTCTGGGACCTGTGTGAAGAAGCATACATTTATTACTAATACAGACATTTTTTTTCTTGATCCATATTACATGTAAGTGTGCCAAAAAAAAAACATGGAGACCTGGAGCCATAAATCGCACGTTTCTGCATTCGTCCAGAGTCTTTGTTTAGTGTGTGACCATAGCACGACACTCGACTACATGAACGACAATCACAGTGTGCTCAAAATATTATATTTTAATGATGGATAAAATATGAACACTAATAACACAACAGTGATTTTATTTACCGATTTCACAGAAGAGATTATTTGATCATATTAAAGGTTTTATAGTTATACTAACCAGTAACGTTGGTCCAGAAGGTCCGGGCAGCATTTTGTTGTTTGTTCTTGCAGTCAAACGAGACATTTTCAGGCCTAAACAAATTATAGTCAGTATTCTTGTCCGAAAAAAGAAAAAAATCTTCCTTGAAATGACTAAGTCTCAGACAGACTTTTTTTGCAAAAATAACACTTAATGACAAAATGTGTTCACTCTAAACATGACATATTTAGTTATGTTTCCCCACTTTTTACATGTTTATGATTATGTCCAGGTGGGTTGCGTGGTGACCAGACACTGCCCATTCAGTCCCTTATTTCTTTTAAGTTTCAATCAAGATAAACTTTTTATGGGACTCCTGGTGGATGAGTTTCTGTGGGAAAGCTGGGATTGAACCAGTTTACCCTTAAATCACTGCCTCCCCACTTCAGAATTCATTAATAAAAATACAGTTTAACAGTGGGTATAAGGAATGTCAACCAAGAGTCACATCAGGCCCTAAATCAGTGTTTGGCTGCAAAAGGAAGTGACGCAATGTGAATAAACGTTGCTTCCGGGTGCTTTTATTTTGAAATGCTCGTAGCGGCTGAGTGTTTCCTGATCTACTTTTCCCTTTTGTGTTTTTACATTTAAAAGTATAAATACAGGCAGTGGGAATGTGTGTTCTAACAGGCACTTTACGATCAGGTCAATTCCGCTAATAGCGTTTTTTTGCGGAGATGAAATGTTGACTAGCTGCTTTTCATTTTCATGAATGTTCTAAGAAAACACCTTAGACAATGCCGCTGGAATCAATTTAATTTATCAAAGCCACTAAATGAAAAGATTATTTTCCCCAAAAATACTTTAAATGAATACATGAAAGGGGCAAAAACAATATTAAGTAGCAACTAGCTCGCCGCTTCTCTGAGCTGTAGTTTCATGTTATGACCAGCAGGTGTCACTATCAGTTTGTACATCATTTAACATCAACCGGCTGGTTAAACTTCATTTGTGCATCTTTATCAGTACACTCTTCAGTCCATGAACATAGAAAGACGTAGAACTTTAAAACATCTGCATCATTTTCACCACAGTTTCTGGCTAATTTGTCAACCAAGTCTCTTAATAAGAGACAGGCTCCTTAGGTTTATTGTTTCCGTCAAAGGAATTGATAAAAGTGTCATTTGTTTGCTTTGGGCTTTTCCCACAGAGTCAAAAGAGTCTTCTGAACTGTGCTGTCATGAAAAATGAGGAGAGGCTTCATTATAAAATATTTCCAGTCATTGTTCATGTAAACCCAGTAAGAGCTGACATTGACGTGATGTCCTGCTTCCACCAGACTGGTACTCTTAACTCATCCTACATTCACTAAGTAAATATATTTCCTCACATCCAACACCGTCTCCACCCTCAACTGCGTGTAGTCGGGTCGAGCAGGCAACAAGTCCAGGTGGGAAACCCAGACTTCTCTCTCCCCAGCAAGACCATCCGCCTCCTCCTGGAGGACCCAAAGACGTTCAGAGAAGATTCACAATCCCTCCAGCAAGTCTGAGAGGAGCCAATATTCTTGATACTTTTAAAAGTAGACTAAAACCCCATCTGTTCTGTCTTTAACATAGAAAAGATTTTTTTTTCTATTTTCCTTCTCCGCTATAAATTATTTGATTTGTATGAAAGGTGCTAGATATAAAGCTCGATTGATTAATGAGGTATGGATCATGGCCGAAAGAAGCAGATCCTGGATTCAAGAGGCTGAAATGAGCTTCCTTCATAGGGTGACCTCGCTCAGCCTCCTGCTCTCTCATCCAGAGGGAGCTCGGAGCAGAGTGCTGCTCCTGCACATCCAAAGGAGTCAGTTGAGGCGGTTCAGGTATCCGATTAAGATGACTCCTGGACAAGGTTCTCTGGACATGTCCCACTGTGAAGATTCCCCGGGGGAAAACTCAGAACCCCTCATGGCAGGCTGTTCCACTATCTTGGTACGTAGCAGAATCACTAAAAGTCCTTGTACAAGAGATGATCTGAGGGGAAGTCATCAACAAAAATCATTTTTCTGACAGTGGTGCTTGGCTGTGAAGGGCTTTGAAAACAAAGCAAATCATTTTAAAATCAATGCTAAACTGAGCAGGCGGCCAGTGTGAGGACTTAGAATGTGAGCTCTCCCTCTGGCCTTTGATAGCACACATTCTGCTGGATTCTGAATGAACTGGAGCTGATTTGTACTTCATGGAGACCACCACATTACAGTAGTCCAGCTGCTAGTTATAAAAGCATGAATCAGTCTCTCAGTGTTGTCCAAAAAGAGAAATGGCCTCACCCTGTAAATATTTTTTAAATAATAAAAAGCTGTCTGTGTTAGTTGTATATGTGGTTTAGAAATTAAAACCTGAGTCAAATATTTCTTGCCTCTTTGGACAGTTTTAATCAACAGTGATTCAATGTGGGGGCCAACGATGAGCCCTTCAGTCTTGTCTTGGTGAAACTGCAGAAACTTCTGCAGCATCCATAATTTATTATCCAAAATACAATTAAGAAGTGCATAAATAGGTCTAGTGTCATCAGGAGACACAGCAACATAAAGCTGGGTGTCATCACCATAACTGTGACAAGAGATTCCATGACTTCTCATACCACCCAGAGCAACATGTACAAGTTAAACTGAAGGAGGGCTAAAATCAATCCTTGTGGTACACCAAAAGTAATGTTGTAGTCTTTGGATGAATTATCATCAACTTTAATGAAGGACTTTCAGTCAAAAATATATGAATACATCTTTGATACAACTGGGGGTGCTTGGTATCGCGCCCCTATCGCGCAGCCCCCTGGTGGGGTGTGCCCTTGCCTGCCGGCGCGCTTGGGGCCTTTGGTATCGGGGGCTGGGTGCTTGGGCGTGTGTCGGCTCGGCCTGGTGTCTGCCTGGTGGGGCTCGGGTCCTCTGGCCCTGTCAGGCCTTGGCCTGGGTGGTGTGAGTCCTCGGTGCCCGGGCCTCGGTGCCTGGACCTGGACCTACATCGGTGCGGCGGGTGCCGACGGAGGCCTATGATTTTGTCGCTGTTGGCCCCGGGGGGTCACTGTATGTGGTTGCTGGTGGGGATCTTCCGGTTCTCCCCTGTGGTCCGTTCTGGAGGGTGGGTGAGTGGTTCGTCCTGTGTGGGTGGCTCTGGGGGCTCCGCGGTCGGGGTCCCTCCTGGGGTCTTGGGCTCTGGTCCCCCCTTTTTCGTCTGCCTCTGGTCTTGGGGGTCGGGTCTCTGCTGCTTCACAGTTACTAATAAATGTTCTATTAGAGAAGCCTTATACACTTATGCATGCTCACAACCACACACAAATAGAAGCAGGGATGTTTATGTAGGCTTTATATGTAGATATATAGATATGTATGTGAGTGTATATTCATGTGTATGTATGTATGTATGTATGTATATAGGCATAGGTATGGGTATGTATATTTATGGAAACTTACTGCAAAGCCATGAATATTTTAAGTTCTTTATACATATGTATTTTGTTGCTGTGTTTTGTCATGTTCTTTGCAGGTGAACAGACAGTGGCCGGGTGTTTTGACGTGTGCTCTATTTGTATATATTTCTTATATTTTGGAGTCTTACTTTGTCTTTTCTTTCTTTCTATCCTATTAAAAAAAAAAAAAAAAAAAAAACCTACACTAGAATGTCACTATAATAAATATTTCATAATAATGGTGTGGACAGGATGGCTGTAAGGGGAGAAGGGAGGCCATCAAAAGAAAAAAAAAAATATATATATATATGAATAAAACCAATTTAATGACTGGAGCTGAGGGGTGAAACAGACAGACCAGTAAATTGAGAGCTTTGTCTCTTTCTTCACCACAAACAATCGAATCAACGCCCTCATTACTGAGGACGAGGCCCCAATCTGTTGATCCATTTCCTGCTCCTACCTACCATCATTTGTGAACAAGATGTTCAGACACAGCACAGGTACTTAAATTCCTCCACCTGAGGCATAGACACCCCCCAACCCCAACCCCCGCAGCCCGGATGGGACATTCCACCCTTTTCTGATCGAGAACCATGGCCTCAGACTTACAGGAACCGTCTCAGATTCTTCACACTCAGCTGTGAACCGGCCCAGTGCACACTGAAGGTCTTGGCCCAAAGACGCCAACAGAACCACATCATCTGCATAAAGCAGAAATGAAACCCAGAGGTTCCCAAACCAGGACCTATCTGGTCCCTGTATAACCAAACTTGGCAGAAGGTCGAGCTCGTTCTCGGTGTGAGGCAGAAGGATGCTATTATGTTTCACCGACTCAAGCCTCGGTGCAGTCGTTTCTATTTTCCACTGAAGTTTGGCTTTCCGTGCTGCTAAGCACATTTGGAAGACCTGATCAGGCTCAGGAGTGTAAATTAAAGAGGAGGGAGGCCTAATTACAGAGAACACGTGTCCTCAGCTGTGATCATCCGTTTGGTTCTACGGTTGTCCCGGATAGATACGTGTATTCTTTTCCTGCATCAACAAACTGTTTTAAACCCGTTCCTCTTGGGATGAAAAGGGGATTTGTGACCCGGACACCGGGAAACATTCAGCCTTTACGCCTCATTAATCTGGCTCAGTGTCGGGTCGTTTCAGGTTTGTTTTCCGTCTAACCCTGCCCTCCCTCACCCTTCACTCCGATCATTTTACTCCCCCGCTGCAGTTCCTTTTGGCTCTTGGGGAGGAATGCAGGATTCATCGGGAGTTGGTGCAAAAAACCTAAAACCCTTTGGCTCCGATCGCTGCTGGGCGTAAAGGTCGCTCCGGCTCCCACGCTTAATACAGCATTCCTGCTCCTCCTCGAAACTTTGAGTCGACACGAAGCTCGAGTCGAGCAGCAAAACTGCTCGTAGACGTAGCCTACGCCGATTTTTATGAAGTAAGCTGGAAAACCTGCGGAGCACGTGTGTCGCATGCAGCCACAGGATTAGATCAAGCTGCTTTATGAATGTGAAAGTCCATGTTGTTGTTATCCTTTTACAGGCCTCAGGGTTGGCTCAGCACCAAGCTTTAACAGAGAAACACCCCCCTCCCTCCCCAACTGCACACCGACTGTTATTTTTGTCTTGGTTTAGTGTGGGGGCCCTTTCTCTCTCCCTGATGAGAACTTTCCGGGCTGTTTGGGGCATTATTTGCCTCATCATGGCTGCTGGTAATGATTTTATGGTTCTTTTTGACGTCGGCCCCAGGCGTGACCTTTGGTCTGAGTGGAATTCACAGATTTATGGCCCCCTCCAGCATTGGGGGCCCTGCCCCTCCAGGGCCAGGCAGACCCAGTTTGGCCATCTGATCCTTTCATGTGAAGCGTTCCACCTCTGGAGGGACGGAACATCTGCAGGCAGGAGATTCAAACTCCTGCAGGAGCTTTCCTTGAGGTCCCCTCTATCCACTGGAACCAGGTCTATTCTAAAGGAAACATCTGGCTCTAATTAACCCCCCCCCCCCCCCCCCCCCCCCCCGTGACTGTATTTTTTCTAGAACTTCCCCCTCACCACCTCCTCCTTCACTCTCTCCTCCCACCCCAAACAGCCTCCTCCTCCCCTCATCTCTCACCTCCTGCTCCTCCTCAGCTTCGCTTCTTCACCATATCACGATGCATCCGGGCAGCATCTGGGGGCTCCTCTCCGTCTTCCTGTCCCTGACCCTGGGGGGGACAAAGGCCCAGCAGACCAACTACACCAGGTACTGTCCAGAGGTGGCGTTCAGGGTCCAGGAACTTGTTAAAACCCAAGCTCAGCCGAGGTTTGATGGTTTGTGGCGTAATGGTTTTTGCTGCTTGCAGCTTTGACGGGAACTTTTGAATCAGACGCCATCTGAGTTTGCTGGGGGTGGGGGGTGGGGTGGGGGGGTTGCAAGATCTGAAATCTGCTGTGTGCATTTTTTAATTGCCTAAGATGTTTGTTTTTTTAAGTTCTATGTTTAGATCATTATAATGTTTTAGTGTTTGTTACCAAATATCTAATAAAAAAGGTAACTTTTGATAAAACTAGCAGAATATAATCACAGGATATGCATCTTTAATGGGTTCACTTTTGAAGTCTGCCCAATTCAAGATGGCCGCCACAGCCAGCTGACTGTAAAAAATATTAATTTAAGTACAACTCTTTAAATGTAACAAACTAAACTAAAAACGGACATGGTAGTAGCTGAGACTAATCCAAAACACACATCTGAGCCCCCTAACAGACTGCACAAGAGATTCCTTGATATTTAAGAAAGCAACTATGTTCAGTCAATTTTTTTCTGTCTGTTAGCAAAATGTCTTGTGAACCGCTGAATGTATTGTAATGAAGCCTTCAGAAAATAATCATTGGGTTTGCGTCTACAAGTGTTTAGGTATAGAGGCCATTCCCATTCAAGATGGCTGCCACAGCCAACTGATTGTAGAAAATGCAAAACCAGCTGTAAATCAGTGAGTTTTACAGATGTTGAGATACAATTTGGTGTTGTAGTAGCTGAGAGTCAGTCCCAGCACATACTGTGAGAGTGACACCTTGTAATGTTGTGTAAAGGTCTTTTAACGGCTGTAACTCAACATGAGATGATCTCATGTGTCTCTGCTGGCCTCGGTCCAGAAGAGGAAGTTCTGTAAAACAAGCTCTGGCTTCCTGTCTGTCTGGAATGAATCAAATGAATCATGTTTTAACGAGATGCTTTAATAATTAGTCAGATGTTTGGTGGGCTCAGCTGCTATGTTTATGGTTCAATGTGCTCAGTTGAAACAAAGTTTAAGAAGTATTTGTTGTGGCTTCAGTTCAGTCAGATTATGTAATGTTCCAAGATTTACAGTAATTATGGCCAGAGTTGCATCACCATTAAAGAATTATTTCATCAATCTGTTAACAGCTGTGTAGTCAGTGCAGAGTTCTCTTTACATTGCACTGTTTTTATCTTTAGACATGTATCTGCTAAGTTTGACAGTTCATTCATGCCTGGGAGAGTTGTTGTCATTTCAGCTGTCTTATTGGGTGTTTTGTGAGATCATCTCTTGATGTGATTGGTTAAAAAACAGGAAGTCAGATGAGTTTGGCTCGTGGTTTACAAACTGTGGTACAAAGAGCAGGAAGTGACAGACCACTCAGACTGGAGCCCTCCATCCATCATATATCCATTCATCATCCATCATCATTCATTCGTCATCCATCGATCTATCATCCATCCATCCATTATCCATCCATCCATAATCCATCCATCCATCCATCATACATACATCAGCCAACCATCTATCTACCCACCATTCATCCATCCATCATACATCACCTGTCCATCCATCATTTATCATCTATCCATCTACCATCCATCCACCATCTGTCATCCTTCATCTACCCATCCATCCATCATCCATCTATCCATCATCCATTCATCCATCATCCCTCCTGGTCCATCAATCCATCCATCCTCCATCATCCATCCATCCATTATCTATCCATCTATCATCCATCCATCCATCCATCCATCCATCCATCCATCCATCCATCC